CAAACCATAACCAAGCCAGTGAGCTCTGAATTTAAAAACCAAGTCTAGTTCGCTTCAAAGTAGCTTGAACGGCTCGTTTTTACTTTGTCAGATGTATATTGAGATTAAAGTCCATGTTCTCACGATGAAGCTCGACTGTGATATAGGTAGCAAAAGTCAGGTGCTCGGTTCATTTGACTCTTGGTCCAAAGGTTGAGTAAATAGACTGGCGGGACCCTTGGATAGTGTCGATTCCAAGAAATCATGTACGGCGGTCTAAATTCAACTACGACACACATAACGATGAGCTCTATTGCGTGAGGTTGTGACAGTGAAATAATATGACTACTAATAGTAGAGTTGGAACCAGGTTTCGTGCTTGGATGGCTGGAATCCTGATCTAGTTTGTCATACATGCTCAGATTCGTATTGTTTATTGTGTTTGCCATAGCCAGGCCGAGTGAACCGAAACCACTGGTATGTAGAGAGATTACACAATGCTATGAGGCATCTTGAACTTCTTACGTGGAAGCGCACTACCAATTCAAACCGAAAAGCCAGAGGCTTCCTGAGGCCCCACTAATCCAACGGCCCCGTCCCCGCAACAGAGAGCTCTGACCACCCCCGGTAACTCCACCGCCCGCAAGTCCCTACCCCACCATGGAGAACCCCTCGGTGCTCCTACTGTGAGTGACGCTTCTTTTGCGACAAGAAACTCCAAAGCTCCAACGTCAACCATCACCACCACACAATGGCAGCAACGACAGCCTCCCCATTCCCCTTCCCACGGGAATACTCTTTCCCCCCCTTCTTCACCCGCCAAACGAACCTAACAACCCACCACGCACAACTCGTCAAATGGTCCGACCTAATCCTCTCCTACTGCCGCCACCACCGCCTCTTCAAGCTCTCCCTCGGCGCCGCGATCCCCTCCACCTCCTCCTCCGCCCTCCCGCACGCCCTCCCAAACCACGCAAACGATCCTTCCCCTCTCAACGAACCAACAACCTTCTCCCCCGCGACCGCAACATCCTCCGCCGCCGCGGCGCCAGAGGAGCTCTTCCACAACAAGACGCTCAACAAGCGCCTCAGCCTGGCTGACGCGCGCGAGGTCCTCGAGTTCATGCGCAAGGACGGCCGCGCAGAACCGTTACCGGCCAGCACCGACGTCTTTTGGGTCTACTGGCGCACACCCGACGAGTGGGCTGCCGCGATCGAGGGTTGGATTGACGAGACGGCGCAAAAGGGCGTCGTGCTGACGCTGTATGAGCTCACTGAGGGCGAGAGTACCAGGGGCACAGGTGGGCACACACAACATCTCTTCTCTTCTGAGACGTCGCAATATGATGATTGGATCCGTGAGCTAAGAACGATTGAATGTGCGTCTAGATTTCCACGGTCTCGACCCAGATCTTCTGTCCAAAGCGCTACAAATCCTGGTGAAGCGCGGAAAGGCGCAGATCTTTGGACAAGAGGACTCGCAGGGTGTAAAGTTCTTTTGATCTTGCTCTCTCTTCTACCTCTTCATGATGATATAACACGATGAGACAATGGTCTCCTTCTTTTGCGAATCTCTAACTAGACATACCACGTTGACACATTATTCCCTCGAGCCGGGTCGTAAACAAACACCAAGTCCCAAGGTCTTCACCCGAAAGCAGCACAACTCCATGTCAGCGCATATATACATGTACAATCCAAAACCACCAACTTAGCCATCAAGCTGAGCGAAATGATAATCACAGGCTCTTTTGGAAAAAGTTCTTGGCGAGGTACTTCTCGTCGAAGGAGACTTGCTGCTTCATGGCGACATCCAACAGCCAGTCAGCTGCGACGATGCGTGGCTCCATATGGCCCTTGCGCGCCATCTCCTCAAACTTGGGCCAGAGGGACCGCTCGTCGGCACTGTTGGAGCTGAGGAGATAGACGGGCTCTGGCGGCGCGCCTCCGTCCTCCTCTTCCGTCGTTGGCTTGATAGTCGTGCCGCTGCGCGCGCGGTACAGCTTGAACATGGCTCCATTGGCCTCCGCGATGGCTTTATAGCTTTCGGGTCCGTTGCAGATGTTATTCGTACAGTACACGGGGACTGTCCATAGCAGCTTCCCGAGATTCGCCCTCGCGCGCGAGACTGCCGTCTCGAGCTTGACGCCAAACTTGGCTTCGTTTTCCTCGTCCTTAAGGAGAAAATCGTCGGGGTCGGGAACCTCGCCTCGTTCGAGAGCCTCGTCGATGAAGTTGGACGATAGGACGGTAGGCCCTTTGGCCAGGGTTTTGAGGAACTTGACAGTCCGTACCATGTGGGGAGCGGCGAGATAGTCGCACGGCTTGTCGTCTTGTACTATCATGATTCCCATGTCGCGAAGTTTCCTCTGCGACTTGTTAGCGTGGTAAAAAGAGAGGAAATCAAAAGACTTACCCTCTCTGTATCTTCCTTGGACTTGGCATTGACCCATCTCGTGAACCCCGTCAGCACGATCCTCATCTCCACATCCGGACGTAATGATTTCCGCTTCTTGGAAGGCCTTGAATCTTCGTCCTCCTCATCCACTTCCATTGCCTGGGCTGGGCTCGATGTGCGGCCTCTTTCTCTGTCAATTTGGTCTGCAGCACGCTTACCACCCCATGGGCCCTGCTTATCCTTGCTGCGCTTTTTCTCCTTCTCGTATAACGCAATATCGGGGGCGATACGCTGCAGGTTGGTCAAAGCCTTACTTTTGGCGCTTCGACCTCCAGTCGATATTTCAGAGGGCGTATCATTCTCCTTTCCGCGGCTGCCTTTCTTAGGGCGTATGGGCGTCATGAAGCTGTCGTCGATAGCCTCTTCACTCTTGTCCTCTTGCCTGCCAATCACAACACCCTCGGCAGGACCATGCAAGTACGAGTTCTCCTGAGCAGCCTCAAGAATCTTGCGCTTCCGTGTCGCTTGGGGCGACAACCCCTCTTCGCCACCGGGGTAGTATGTTTCTCGCAAGCAGTACTCATCAAAGAAGGTTTGCCCGATAACCTCGCCCAGATTCGTGCGGACGGGAAAGTGAGAGTACTTGGGGACAGTAACCCTCTGCATCTCGCACTTGGCGTAGCTCTCCTCGATCCACAGGTGGTTGACTGTCTCGATGTTCCAGTCCTTGGCCGCCTCGTATTTCTCACTGCTGCTCCTTGCTGTGATGAGGTGTGTATTCTCGGCCTTCATCGTCTTTGTGTATGTGGCACCGGTCGCCTTGATCAGATTTTCAAGGTATATGCGAGCGTCACCGCCGTAGTTGGAGAGACAAATCTTGAGACCTTCGAATCCGGGGATACCATTTTTGGGAACTGGGTAGTGGAGTAGACGGCGAAGCGGGGACGTCCATTCATTGTGCGTTATGAGGTGGTAAAGCCAAGAGAGGTTGCCAATGTCCTTCCCTGACTGGGCAGCCTTGACGTACTGATTTCCGTCACGATACTGGCAGATAAAGTAGTCGCAATCGTCGACATTGTCGACCACCTTGCCACCACCATTGTTGATAAGTTGCTTGACAGCTTCCAGCGATCGTGGGGTAATGCTGAGGTCCCCTGAAAGCATGACATCCTTGTCCCGAAATATCGTGGCTGGTTTTCGCGGGCCATCACTGAGGTGATTGGGGCTTGTTGAGGTCGCTCCGTTGAGCTGTTCGTATTTGGGAGCTTGTACCTCGCCTTGATTCTCGCCGTGACGAAGGATTTCGGGATCGGGAAGCAAATATGGGCCTTCGGGTATACGTTTGCCAAGCTTGAAGCAATCTTCGAACCTAGGGTGTGTAAGAGGTGGCTCGAAGCACAAGGACGCTACAGACTTACCAGTGGGGTAAAACAATCTTGCAATTGAGGCCTTTCTCCTTGGCAATGACACATTTAGGGTCTTCCGTAGTCAGAGCGCAGATATGAGTGGTCTGCCGTGTGACATCGGCGCCTTCCATGCCGCCCATAGCCAGCGTAGCACCAATGATGGTCTCCTTGTCGATTTCAGGCAGACCGGCAGTTGTGAGGATGACCTTGGAAAAGAACATGCGTGGATCGGGAGAGTATGGCCGGACCTGTGCCTGCTTGTTCTTCTTGACTGATGCCTTGATCCAGTCGGTATTGACGACTGGGATCATGAAGGCCTGGGTCTCGGTGAACTGGGGAAAGTCGATGGTGTTGGAGATGATGTGAGAAACCGCTTCGAGTTTGAGGGAGCCATCGCGTCTTGGGTCGAGAACTGTTCCGCCACGACCTTCAACAATGCCAGCGTACTCGCTGATTTCTTTGGGAGCTAGGTGGGCACTGGGCACGAAGGCGAAGGTACATTCTGCGAACAAGCCCTTTGCCTGTTCAGCCATGGTGGGCAATCAGGTGAGGCATGCAATTGAGAAGAGCTAAAGAGCTAGTGGGCGTCGGAGTCGATGTCAGGGCATACGCAGGACGGTATCTTGAGGTTTGCTGTCAGAGTGTTGTTTGCGCAGAAAGACCGGTGTGGGTGTAGCCTGCAGGCAATTACGAAAGATGAAGGCGATTTTGACGCGAAATTGTTAGCGACGCGGCCGGGCGGAGGACGCGAGGTGAGCTCGCCATCACGTGTAGCTTCCTGGCAAGGTACATTTGTTTGCGTGGCCCCGGCGCTGTCGGAGAAGTATCGGTACTTTGTCATTAAAAGCGCGATAGGAACGCGTCCAAGGGAAGCATCAGCTAACCAGCTGGCCGTTTGCCGCAAGCCGCCCATCAATGTGCGGTGACATTCTTCGGTGACATTCTTACCCCAAAACAAACTACAACCTTAATGCGACTACCTCACGATTGCATTTGACACCATGGATGATGTTTCTGCAGTGAAATCTCTTTGTCGAACTTGGTCGCTCGAAGTAGCTGTTCAAACTAAATTGCTGCGCTCGCAACGTCATGATCCCTGCTTTCATCTGACTCAGGGATAGAACCCGATTTTACGGATACTCTTAATTGCTATTATAGATACTTCCAACTTGAACATACAACTCAAGGCCTTACACTCTCTTCATTACAAATGGCGCCTACAGACTTGACTTGATCAAATCGGCAGCCCGTTCGGCGATGCCATAAACCGTTGCCTGGGGGTTGGCACGCACTGTAATGGGCACAATGGAGGCATCAGCCACCCGCAAGCCACGGATTCCATGCACCCGGAGCTTCTCATCTACAACTCCGCCAAGCTCTCTCGGCATCATGGAGCAAGTGCCCGTGAAGTGGTGAGCGCCGACTGCTGTCTTCCGCACGAACTCTTTGGCTTCCTCGAGTTCTGTCAGGGCGTTGGCAGGGTTGCGCTTTCCGCTCGGCTTCAGTTGACTTCGGAGCGGCTCGCTTGCGGCAATCTTTTCCAGGAGCTGGATATGTCTGGCCAGGACTTCAACGTCGAATGGGTGCGAAAGGTACGCCGGGTCGATGGCGACCGCGGGCGATTCAAGAAACGCAGAAGTGATGTGACTTGACCCTCGCGACAAGGGATGAGCGAGGAGCAGCGCTATTGTGAAGTACTTGTCCTCGCCAGGCGGTGGCGCTGCCATAGTTCCGTCTCCGCTGAACAATGCGAATCCCGGCAACGACAGATAGTAGCCCGACGGCTCCGAAAACGACGTCAGGACGGACCGCACATATGCCTCGAGGGCTTTTGTGAACTCTGGCGTCGCGCTTGTTTTGGGCCCGCTCAAGTTGTCAAGAAGCTGGGCGACATCCTCGCCAGCGGGAAGAGGAAGCTGTGCAGTCGCTACGGTGCCGCTTCTTGAGAACGGCCCAGTGCCCTTGCCATACGCCTCCATCGCAGCTCCGACGGCAGCCGGTTCTTGACGGATAATGCCGTCCATGGTATCGAGCTCTGGAAGGGCCTCAAAGCTTGCGCCGACCATGACGTGGTTCTGCAGGTTTTCGCCGACGTGTGGGTTGTCGAGAACAACCTCGATGCCGAGTTTACGGAGAAGCTCTCCATTGCCAACACCGGAGAGCTCAAGGATTCGTGGCGAGTTGAGAGTGCCAGCAGTCAGCACAACCTCCTTCTGTGCTGTTGCTGTTGCTGTCTCGCCATCCTTGGTGTATTGAACGCCTTCGGCAACAATTTCGCCAGCATCTGACTTGAAGACAATCTTCTCTACCAAGGCTCCGGTCACAACCGTCAAGTTGGATCTAGACTTTGCTGACTGTAGATACGCGCTCCCGGCGTAACTTCTCTGCTTTGTCTCCGGGTCTATAGTGTCCGGTGTGAGACTGCTGCCGACTCCCTGCCCACTCAAGGGGTCACAAGAATCGGGGAAGCCTAAATTGCGGATAGTATCTTGCCAGATTTTGGGCCAGAAAGACTCGACGTTGTCCGGCAGAGACAACTTCAGTGGTCCTGTGCCCTCACCAGACGCGATGGAATAGGCCTTCTTGGAGGCCTCATTGAACGTAGGCCAATCCCAGCCGGGATTGCCCAAGCTGGCCCACGCCTCAACGTTGGATCTTGTGGTGATGGTGAAGGAGAGGCCGTTGAGGGCACCTGAGCCACCAAGGAGACGACCTTGAGGGACAGCAATCTCACGACCACCTAGGCCATCCTGCAAGCGATTCACTATCAGTAAAGCGGACTCCCAAAAAGCAGCTGTTGGTCTGAGAAACACTTACTTGGGGCACCGTTCGGAACTGCCAGTCAGAGGGCGTCTTGACAAGACTGGGACCCAGTGCGGGAATATTGACTCGAGGGTCCGCCGTTTGGTCTTCGCCCGCTTCGAGCACTAGGACCTGGACATCTGGGATCTCGGACAGACGAGTGGCAACTACTAAGCCGGCGACGCCGCCACCCACGATGATAAAGTCGTATTTTGCAGCCATTTTGAGAGACGGTGTGATGAGTAACACGATACGAGTGATTCTGCAAAAGCAAGAGACTTCGTTGGAACTTCGGTCACTGTTAAATCATGACAGGTTTCCGAGCCCGAGACGTCTAAGATTGTGTAGGATTGCGGCAAAGCATTAGTCGCCGTAGCGCCGAGCGCCCATCCGGCATCTCCCCCGCGGGCGGCCGTATTGCACCAACATACGACACTGAGCCGGCCAACCGTTTCTGGTACCGTTCAAGCAGGTTCCACTGCAGGGTTGCATCCTTACGACTTTGTTTCTGCATCAGGGGTATGACAGTTTGGGACGCAGACCCTCTCACTTCCCTGGACCCCCGGTCAACGACCGTCAAGGGATAACCTGGTCGGTATCCGAGTATCAAGGTTATCGGGATGACCCATGATCACCGCGGCGCGATATTCAACTATGTACCTTTGATCAACGAGTACGGCCTCTAGGATAGAATGGAAGACGTTGTGATGCGTGCTGGTTTACATCCCAGTTATTGGACACTAGTCAGTTACTGTGGCATGCGGTTACCCCTCAGGTAACTCACGACAGATTGTCGAGGGATGGACTGGACCCAACCATGGCACTAGGCATCATGTCAGGTTCCGATGACTGCTCGACAGGCGGATTTTTATCGACTCCGAGCTCAGGACGAGTTAGTGGTGGTAGACTTCAAGAAAGAGGCGCCTCGACCTGGTTGGAATTGACCAAGTGCAACACACAAACTTCATCATGAGTGTTCTTCTCGATCCTAGTTACCAAGCCGTCTTAGTTTACGGCCTTGGACTCCTTTGCGGTGTTGCCGTTCACTTGGGCATTTTTATTCACGGAGAATGGCATGTACAGGCTCCTCAGATTGCTCTGGGTCACTTCTGGCTGTTCTCTTGTTTCGCGGCTCTCAGTCGTTACTACAAGGGCTCAGTTGTTGGTGATCTTTGCCATTCACTCTTGATACTATCCGCTGGTTACCTGCCTGGACTTTTCACCAGTATCATCCTCTACAGATTCTACTTCCATCGTTTATCAAGCGCTGGCTTCAAAGGCCCATGGTACGCCCGAGTCACCAAGCTGTGGCACGTCTGGGCCTGCAGAGACTGCAAGAATCATTTGCTCTTGGAGAACCTACACGAGCAGTATGGAGACTTCGTGAGGACAGGTAAGTAACCACCAGAAACAACATTCTTTGAAACCTCCATTGATAGGTTAGCTAGGACCCAGTGAAATCACTGTTTTCCACCCAGGAGTCTTCATGGCTGTAGATGGTCCCCGGTCTGAATGCATCAAGTCCGAGTGGTACGACATTCTGCACCCCGATCGTGCGCTGGTCACAACACGCATCAAGCCCATTCATGCTGCCAGACGCCGTGAATGGAACCGTGGATTCTCGGCACAAGGTATTTTACCCCATAGATCTTCGGAATCATGAGCCTATCTCTAACGAGCCGTGCCGTACTACAGCCCTTGTTCAACACGAGTCAAAGATTCTCAAGTATATTGAGCAGCTGGACGTCTGCATCGAAGCGGACGCCAAAGCACACGTTGCTTCGGAAGTGCGGAACCTGTTCTTTTGGTTCGGATTTGATGTCATGGGAGACTTTGTCTTTAGCAAGTCGTTTGATATGCTGCACCAGCAGCAGTGGCACCACATTATCGTGCGGCTGCAGCGTGCTCTCTCGCTCCTTGGACCGTTCAGCCCTGCTCCATGGCTCATCCAGGTCGGCTTCAAGCTGGGACCGCGAATCAGCGTTCTCAAGGACTGGTTCGACATGGTCGCCTGGTGTGAGCGGCAGATGCGTGTCAGACTCGATGATGGAACTCCTAAGCCAGCCGTTCCTGATCTTGCCTACTACTTGATGGAGCTGAACGACGGCCAGACAGAGCTCAAGGATCGTTTGCCATGGCTTTATGGCGACAGCTTGCTCGCAATTGTTGCTGGAAGGCAAGTTGATTCCCTCCAATTTCGTACATGCTAACTTATTGACAAACATACAGCGAGCCAACGGCTGCTGCGTTGATTGGTATCTTTTGCGAGTTGGCTAAGCACCCTGAGCACGCCGAGAAGGTCTATGAGGAACTGCTAGACGTCGACACGACCAACATCAAGACTCTCACGAGCCTCCCACACCTCAATGCTGTCATCAACGAAGGTCTCCGCTTGTATCCAGCCCTCCTCACCGGCGGGGCCAGGAAGACCACGGAAAACGGGGCCACGATCGGTGGGACTTTCATCCCGCCCGACACGACAATCATTGCCCCGCGTCACGTTATATCCCGAAGTAAGTAAATCCATAGAGGGTTGCTTTCGTCAGTTCTCAGCTCACATATTATCTACAGGGGAGGATTGCTTCGAGCGGGCCAATGAGTTCATTCCCGAGCGATGGAGTACGCGGCCAGAGATGATCCACAATGTTGCAGCTTTTGCGCCATTTGGAACAGGTATGGCGACCTTTTTCTCTATCTACTATCTGATAGCCTTTGTCGACTAATCCGTCTGTCTACAGGTCACCACAGCTGTCTTGGTCGTTTCCTGGCCACCGACACTATGAGATTTGTTGTTGCCAGACTGGTAAAGAAGTATCATTTCCGCCTCGCACCGGGAGAGACGGGCAACCGCGTCTTTGACGACGTGAGGGATCAGTTCACCTCTAATCCGGGTCCCCTGTCGCTGTGTTTCGAGTTGAGGTGACTATTCTATGTTTAGACAGAATAAGTATGTAGTCACTTAGAGTTTAGCCAAGGCACCAAGAAGCGAATCGTATCATTTTTTCGGTTTTCTAGCAAATGTATTTCCAATGTTGAGGTCCTGATTATTCATACGTAAGAGCAATGATATATTGAGCTGTCTCTGGGCGAACATGGTCAACAGCCCATGAGGCTACTATCGTCTATTCCGGAACCATCTCAAGCAAGACTAGTGTATGGCCACCCATTGATACCGCTGGTCAGCAGCTGACCAGATTGGATCGCGCCGGTGCCCTTTTTGAGCTCTTCGACGTCCCAGTTGGCCCAAACAGTACGACCATTGAGGAACGCCGCCTCGGGACTTGCCAGCCACACCGTGAAGTGGGCAGGGAGTTGGACTGCAAGCCAGCGCGCGGGATGTCAGCACCTTGTTCGGCCCGCTAGAGCTGCAACGGGAAGGAGAAGCAGGGGAGGGAAAGGAAGGGAGTGGAGGGGAGTGTCGGGACGGGGAGGGAAATTTGGGCAGATGGGTGGACAGGGGAGGGAGGGTAGTAGTCTAGTAGGAAAGCAGAATGGAACTGTACCTTTATCCATGGGGAGAGCTTCGGCCTTGGCGCCACTCTTGGTGAAGATGTCGGTCTCGACCATGCCCGGGTGAAGGGTTACCGCGAAGATGTTCGGGTTTTCCGCCGCTAGGAACTCGATGATTTTCGTTTGGGCTAGCTTGGACGCCATGTAGGCGGACAGACCAGGCAAGGCGACTGCCGGCAACGCCGTTGTGCCGGTAGTGAGTGCGACGATAGACGCATGCGAAGGGTTCGCCGTGGGGAGGAACACCTTGCTGACGAGGTATGTTCCTTTGGTGTTTGTCTGTTGAGTAGGTGTAAGTGCTCGGGCCTGCTCATTCGCTCTCACTCCCCCATCTCTCTCTTTCTCGCTACAGACTTATGCAGAGACACAGACTGAGAGAGACAGAGAGACACAGAACATTACTGGTCAAGGGTAGTCTGATTTACCTCAAAACTCTGCCACCAGTCGTCGGTAGCCGACCCCGCGACGGACGACGGGCTGGACACATGGCCAGAGGCCAAAACAAGAATATCCCACTTGCCGATCGCGGCTGCCACCTTGATCAGCGTCTGCTCGTCCGTGATGTCCACGGCGTGGACATCACTCTGCACAGACGACGGCAAGGAGGCGGCCGTCTCGGCTATGGCGGCCTCTGTGCGGCCCAGGAGACTGACTCGAGCGGCCCCGGCAGCAGCAAAGGCCAGGGCGGTCTCTCGGCCGATTCCACTACCCTAATTCGAGAGAAGGACAAAGCGTCAATAGAGAGGTTCCTAGGTGAGTAAGGTATCCGTCCGGATATATTGCGGACACAGAACTGGCGCGATATAGAGTTGTGACGGGGGAGGGTCAAAAGCTCCGATCTTTCTGGATCATGGCCCAGGCATATCGGAGGCGAGAGGTCATCACAGAGGGGCCGTAGACGGGGGATAAGAGGGGGCTGGGCGAGGGTCGATGTTCACAACCAGGGGAAAGGGAAAAGAGAATGGACATCGTGGAACTTACCGCGCCTGCCACGATGACCGTCTTCCCCGCCGCGCTGAGCTCCGGGCGGGAGGGCGAGATAGCATCGTAGGTATCGTTGCGCCAGGTAGGCGTGACGGAGGGCAGAGGGGGTTGCATCTTGGCTCTTTTGAGCGATATTGGATTGGGATACTGAGAAGAAGGAGAAACGGTCGAGCCGAGAACGGGAAAACAGAGCGTCAGCCTTGGAAGTGGCGAGATACAAGATTTCAGCGAAGCCAGAGAGCGATGCTGGATGTATGGATAGATTGAGTGAAGCGTGGGGTAGGTAACGGGAATGCCAGAAACAGTCTTGAGCTATCGCGAGCTAGGCCCTGTCTTTTTATCCCCCCCTCTCTCTCCTTCATTGAGCTGAGCTAAGACTCAAAAGTTCGGGACTTTGTTTACAAACTCCGTGATATGCAGCGTTGCGGCACAGCTCGCACCGTTGAAGACGCCATGGCTCTGACTAACCGGTTGGTTGGTTGGACGGCGATGTTGCCTGCTCATCTTCTCTTGAAGGATGCAGATAGCTGACCGGTAGACAACCTACTCAGTAAGGACGGGCGTCGTCTCCACCGGCAACTCGGGGACTTTGGTGAAACCTGAGATTGAGCAACAGACTGACACCTGTGCCTTGCATAATTACCGGAAGCGGGATAAACGTAAGCCTCATTGCAACATCACCATGGCCGTCAAGGTAAGGCAACGTATGCACACTTCCCCCTAGTAGAAGGTGCAGACTGCCAGACAACCCCCGTGGTGGGAAGCATTGCATCCAAACGGGTTAACAAATGCGCGGCGCAGCGGCGGGTGGCAGGTGCTGCTTTGCTGAAGACAGTCTTTGTCTTTCACATGGTTGCTTTTGTGGTTTCTGTGGGACTCGGTCTGCTATGTATGGCCCGTTGACAAGGGTCTCTGAAAGTTTGATATATCAACTTGCAGAAACTCCACTTTGAAACTCCCCCCACACCTCGAGACTCATGGATAGACTGGGGAACGGTTGAACCCCTGCAATGAAAATGGTAGAGCGGGGAGGCCAAGTCTTCTCAGAGTCCCATCATACCACGGAGAGGGGGGGGGGACCCTCGTTAGACCGAACAAGACTTTGGGACTGGTAGGTTGTAACTTGGCAAACCCTTGAGGGTTGATGAGGCTGTGGAGTTTCTCTATCACGTACATGACGAGTTCCCGATCACATCTGAGAAGAGGGCAGTCATGTGGGAATAACATGGTTCTCTATCGATATTACCCACACGTGCAGCAACACTAGGCGGGTGGTTGGTCCTAAAAGACGACGACGACTGTCACGAACCATTGCCTATTAGTATTCAACTATCGTTGCTTGCAAGCTTGCAAGCCTGCACAGTAACCAGAAAGTGGTGATTGTTAGGGTGTGAGTGGGGAGGAATGGGATGAAAGAATGCAGTGTCATGCAAGCGCGGAAGTGCAGAGCCCTCCTGCTGAATCATGTCATCCCATCTTGTCTCCCTTCGATCAGATGAGCAGAAGTCTCGCCAGACAGGCTTACCTACTGGGTTACGTGCAGGAGGAGGAGCCGAAGAGGGAGGGAAGCATGGTTCGGCAAAGTAGTGTAAAGTACATTCTGTCATACTTACATGGCCATCTCTCACTCTCATTCTCAAACTAGTATCAAAGTGGCCGGCAGACACACCAATAAGCTGGGAACTACCGCAGAGTAGGGTGACATCGACTTGTGTCTCATCGTCTAGCTCACCCTTTCGTCCACTTCTTTTTTGGGGATTCCTGGCCGTGATTGATAGACGCGGGAACCACGTTTCGTCTTTGTGGGATGAGAGTAAAAGAGAGTGTGGGAGAGAGAAGAAGGCAAGGCAGGGTGGCGGCATGCCACCCGGCGGCTTCTCGATGCGATGAGCATTGTTCCCGCACCCCCCATAAGAGATGAAGGCATCCCCCGCGCGTGCTATGCCGCGAGGGCGGATGTCTATCGGGCTGGTATCCGGAAACTCTCTCATTGCTTGTTGGCATCTGAAGCTAAGGCAGTAGACCAAACTGACTGGGCCCAATCGCATTACACACTTTGAAGAGCAGAAACACATTTCGCCCATCATGCCTGGTGCCGGCTCAAGAGGCATTAGCCTCTTAGTATGGATTGTTGTCTTTACCGTTGTCGATGCTTCGTTTTTATGTCTGCGAGCTTGGTCAGCGAGGGTGATGAGGAGATCCTTCTACTGGGATGATGGAATGATCATCTTCGCCTTTGTAAGTCCATAACTCCTATCACTACTACCTTCTTTGATACAGGACTGACCATGGCAGGCCAACATTGTTGCGCTAGAGGGTGTTGTCATTTGGGCCATTTACAATGGCTTGGGCAAACACACCAATGAGTTGACTCTGGATGAGTATGCTGTTCAGTTCAAGGTAAGTCAGACATCTCATCCCATCTACTGGAACCATCTCTAACACTTTCTCCCTTACAGCTCATCCTCGCCAGTGGTGTTACATGGCTCTTGGGAACCGTCTTCATCAAGATGGCCATCCTGTGGCTGTACACCAGAATATTTTCCACGGCCAAGTTCAAGCGCTGGTCGCATATCCTCATGGGCGTCACGGGTGCCTACGGTGTCGCGTTCCTTATTCTCTTCATGAGTAGGTGCTCGCCCATGTCTCAGCAGTGGGCGCCGGTCGAAGGTGGTCACTGTCGCGATATCACCGTCGACCAGCTTGTTTCGGTGACCATTAACATCGTCGTCGACATCGCCATGACCGCTCTGCCGATGCCGGCGCTTTGGGGTCTTCAAATGCCTCTCAGAAACAAGATCGCCGTCAGTGCCATGTTTGGTATGGGTTTTGCGTAAGTTATTTCCTTCTCCTTCTTCTCTTCTTTCTACATAGACCTAGGCAGTAGCTTACTCTTACATCCCAGAACAATCGCAATTATGATTTGGCGTCTAGTCAACACTGTCACCACCATCGGCGACCTTGACTTCGTCTATAACCTACACGACATCGGACTCGTCAGTCTCCTCGAGCTCTGGATCGGTATCATCATCGCATGCCTGCCGACCCTGGGCCCCCTCTTCAAGACCTATGTCAAGCCGGCCGTCTCCAAATTCGGCTCCAAGCTGACGAACCCGTCAACGGACAAGGGCGGCCAGATCAATCTCAAGGATCTGACGAGCAGCAGCGGCGGCCACAGCATCCGTCACCCCCGTCGGACGTACGACAAGCTTGGCGACAATACCTCCGTTGTGGACCTCGAGCGCGCCGAGCTGACGACAAAGTGTCAGTTCTCCCCGGGAGCCGAGGCGCCCAGGGGCAGCAGGCCGGTCATCTACGTTCATCAGGACATTGCGTCGCAGGAGACTTGGAAGCGAGGGGCGCAGGCTTAAGCCGGAGACTGGGATCGGGTGTTAGGGAGGGGAACGGGGAGTTACGGCCGATGGATGAAATTTATTCGAGATATGAGATATGTACACTTCTTGACGCACCAGTTTGCTCTGTAACCATATAGCATTTTCTTTTGTCTTCACTTATCACAATACTCCTTCATTCATCACTGAAGGAAACAATCGAGCATTCACATTGCATCTTGAAGTTAAGCAGCCCCGGGAGTGTCTCATACATAGTACTTGCACCTGCAGACATCGTACACACTCTGGAGAGACTTCCGGGAGATTTTCCAATAAATCAGGGCTTTACAATTACTTGCAGCCAAACCTCCCTGGGTGTCCGTGTCGATCACTCCTTCTCGGAAAGCGGCACGCCTGACTCTTACTCGCCCAGCAACGCCCAGACAGCGTTCCTGACCAGAGACATGGGAATCCCGGGAACCCACGAGAAGGGTAGAGTTGGGAGTTGGGACGACAACAACATCGATCCAGCTCCACGGCGAGGGGAGGGGGAACGGGTGACAATCTGTATCACACTATCTGCCATACGCCGAGCCCCATCCCGCCGGTAGTGGGCAGTCAAGTTCATCAAAGGACGAAGGACAAGACCAAGACCAAGACCCTCTTCGTGTTCAATGGCTGGTGACTGGTTCCAGCAAGGAAGAAGCTTTTGGTTCTCACGCCTTTTAGAGTTACACGCGTGGGGACAAACTGGAGTCAGGTCGGATAAGGTGACGGGAACTCACAGACGAGGTTCGCGAGCCTTTTTTCTTCAGAGTTTACATCCGAGCACCTTGCGAGAACGACTGGGCCCAAGTAAGGGTAGAACGTATCCACATAAAAGTGTACCTGCCTCTTTAATATAACGTTAAACTCTCATTCGCTGCGTGGTCAACACACCGTACACACGTGAGGTTTCGTGAGACCTGGAATATGGGTCGAGATGCAATCAACTTGCACTGCTTTCACTACTTTCACTACGACATCAACGTAGCACCACCGCTTCCCGATCTCTCATGGATCACAAGAGTCTGGATCGAAACTTGTGTGTCACTAGATGTATCCATAGCTCAATATCCAGAGTCCGCGTACCGGTGGAGAGTGGAACGCAAGGGCATTAACCAAGAATTGGCATCTTTTAGACTTCCACGATGCAGCTTCGTCTTCTTCCGGTTACCAGTTTTCTTGGTCCCCAGTCCAGCGGGAATGCTACGACTCTTAAACGGAAACCGCTTCAGGGAACGTTTCCTTGAGGGATCCCTTGCCTTTCACCACGACTTCTGGTTCAAACTCTGGCCTCTGGTTGGTTTCGCGACCTCTTCCGCGACTTCGTCTGCAATCCGCGGCCGAGTGTGTGATTCAATATCGCGCGAGGTATATCGCTCAGCCGGAGACGGGTATGATCGTTCAGGGGTCGCTACATATTGCATATGTATTGCCTGCCGTTCAAGTCACAGCCATGGAGTGTACCCTCTCTCCGTGAGATTCCTCCAAAGTCCCATCTTCGAGGCTTCCGAGGCTATTGGGTCTTGAACATGCGTCCTTGACATGACCGGGGCCATCTCCCAAGTACCGCTTAACAATTTAGACATTCGTCGATAGAGGCAAAAATCCAGACTGGAAGTTGGGGGCATCCGGCATGTGTTGTCCAAGGTGGATGAATCTGAATCATGAGAGCGGTGAATGGGTTTCGCCACGAGGCCTCTCTATCCCGAGGCCGACGATGTTGTTGATCAAATCGACGCTCGGCGGGCCTTTATCAAGGGACCGTGATCGCCCCCTTTTTTGATATGAGGAGATGTCAAAGAGGGTCTCTCTGTGTCTCTCGTGCTTCAAACCGCAGGTGTCAAACCAAACTGTCGGATCTCATCTTTGCAGCATCTTCTTCATCTCCTCCTTCCTTGCTAGAAGCCAAGTTCGTTAGCAGACCGCAGGACGGGGGCCCATCTTATCATCATGCAGCATTCAGGCAGCCTTGGGGAGAATTCTCCCCTCACGCTCAAACACGCCTCGTTTGAAGACGAGATCACGTCGAGCAGCACAAAGTCCTCTTCCTCCTCCTGGTCCTCCACTTTCACCGAGGTCCTCCGCATACCTCGTCTGATCTGGGACTTTACCGAGAGCAACTTTGCCACATTCGTCGTTCCCAACACCGCCTTTGGCCTCCTTGGTGGGCTCACCGGCGCGCCCCTGACCTCGGGCCACGCATCTACGCTCTCCATCGTCCAGCGCTTCCCTCTGGTGGTGGCCTTCAACTGGTACAGCGTGCTCATCTTCGACCTGGCCAACCAGAGGGGGCCCGAATCCGTGGCCGAGGACCTCGCGAACAAGCCTTGGCGGCCCATACCGGCGGGCAAAGTGACGCCTGAGCAGACTCGAAAGGCCATGCTCGTGGCCATACCCGCAGTGCTGGCCCTGAACTACGTGCTGGACGTCTGGAACGAGGGTGTCTTCATCCTGATCCTGACATGGCTGTACAATGACCTCCGCGGGGGCGACGAGCTCGTCCGGGACGCCATCATCGCCGTCGCCTACTTTCTCTTCAACACGGCCTCCCTGAAGATTGCCATCAGCGGCGGGGCCGCAACAGGAACAGCAGCAGCAGGGGCAGCAGACGACGTACGCGTACCCATCACCATCACCCACGAGGGGTACGCGTGGGCGGGCATCATCAGCGCGGCCATCCTGACGACGATGCAGGTGCAGGACCTCAAAGACCAGGCCGGCGACCGCGGACGGGGCCGCGCGACGGTGCCCCTATACTTTGGCGACAGGGTCTCGCGGACGTCGCTCGCGGTGCTGGTCCCCTTCTGGTCGTGCGTGTGCGTCTACGTCTGGCACATCCGGTCGTCGTGGGCGGTGCTTCTGCCCACGTTGTCGGGAGCCATGGTCGTCGCGGCGGTGCTGCGGACGCGGACCCCGGAAACGGACGCCAGAGCGTGGAAGCTGTGGTGCCTGTGGACGGTCTGTCTGTATTCCCTGCCCCTCGTCGGTGACGGTTTCGTGTCGTTGGCGTCGCAGCACGTGGAATGAAGGGGAGCCCGGGGGGTGGAGGATATTACCTGCAGTTTACGGATTCAGGTACGGATAACAGAGAGAGCAAATTGTCATTACTGTGTATGCAGAGTTTCCGTTTGGAGGAGTTGGTTGTTGGAACTTGAGAATCCTTGAAGGCTGTACGAGTCAGTCGGAAGATAAGTGACAGCCGTACGGGGTCTTCGTAGAGCACCGCTTCGGCTAAGAGTCGGCAGATGGACCTGGAAAGAGTTGCTGCTATCTAGTACCCTTGAATCCTTGATGTGCGTGATTCTTTTTGAAGTTGGACAAGGATCACGAGTCAAGCGCTGGCAGGGAGCGGGCCGCGGGGAGCCAGGATTGCAAGCGCGGCGCCAGGGGCGTTACTTGACTTTTGAGTGTGTTTTGTAAGTAGACTAGTACGGATAGATGAACCGTCGTAGCTCTCAACGTATCCGTACGTAGTAAACGGTAGTAGAAGACAGGACGTCGCGTAGATTAGGAAATTGACTCGTCAAAACTTCGAAAGAGACTTGGAAAACCGCGCAGCGGGAGGATCATTTGGCTGCCTCCCTCCCCCTCCTTCGTTCCTAGTGTCATGGCAACTAGTCGATCATCGTGGAGAGTTGTCTTTTGACTCAACTGATTACTGATTAGTTGGGTTCGACCTCGTTAACTTCCCAGATGACAAGGTACTCCAGAAGGCTGTTGTTGCACGAGGTTGTCTTCGGCCGGACCATTGGTTTCCGTCCGGGTTCGGGTGGCGTCCGTCGACCCGGAGGACCCGGGGTACACCCTCCACGATGCCTCCACGGTCCCATTTCTGCGCAGTGCCCACCTTTGCAGGTCCTTGTAAGTTGTAACCGCACATGTTGGATGAACGGTTGACACTTGACAGGCATGAGTCCCAGTACCGCCCTCATGGTTGCGGGCGGCCGACCTCTTCAGTCTGCTGCAGTCTGCTGCAGTCTGCTGAATGTGGTTTGCTATGCAGGAACGGACAGGACTTCGTTCGTTTCCACGGGAAATCTCCCCTGCAGAGTCCCCCAGATATGCACGTCTGTTAGTCAGTTTAGTGCGGCTTTCTCAACTTCTTGCTGCCAAACCTCAGACTGACCATGGATGACGACGGCTCATCCTTGCTTGCCAGCAACCGTTCGTGTCAGGGACAACCCCTAGATGAGAATAACGGCGATACCACCTGCCTATATTAGCTTTACATGAGTTTTGCTTGGAATCGTCAAAACCGTCTCGCCAAGTTCCAACAAACGCGTGATTAGTCCCCGCAACTCGAGACGGCGAATGGAGTTTACCTGTAGGCGTTGGCCTTTCCGGAAGGTTGACATTGAGGTATATTCCCATTTCCCCTCATCTTTCGGATCCATCCATCGAATCGAACTCGACGTCTCGGCCCCGGCCGGCCCCTTGAGGCTTCGAAGGAGGGACACGCGGCAATTCGTCCCCATTTTGTCCCATTCTGTCCAATCTTTCCACCGATTCTCATAGCCCTCCCGGCCCTTCTCAAGGTCTCGCAGGGTGAAGAGTCAGGCACATGCTTGGTTCACCGTTCGGGGGCCCTATCTTCTCAATAGCTTAAAAGTTTCCTTCCCACAACTGCTCGCGTGGGCGGCTAGTATTCGTGGGCCATCGTAGTCAATATTGGCATGGGTGGTAATCAAACTATCGTCAACTTCCTGGCTGTAACCGGCAGTCTCATTTCGTGTTGTTGATGCCTCTTGGTTCCGTCGTTCGTGACCTGCCTGTTAAATACTTAGCATCGAAGCGCTGGTGTTGTATCGTGAGAGAGGTCTCTTTCTCTCCTCACCTCCAACCGCCAGTCATTCTTTCTCACCCTCCCTCCCTACCTCCCTCTCCTCTCACTTTGTGTGACAGCAAGTGATTGTGACCCCCTCACTCTTTTCCAGAATGGTGTCTCTCCTCAGCTTGCTTACCCTCGCGCCCGCAGCGGTCTCGGCCTTCTCCATCGGCCGGGCAGGATCGGGCGCCGGCATCCGACCCGGAGGCCCGTTCTTCGGCGGCCACGACATCGCCCAAAGAGCCACGGACTGCCGCTGCTTCCCCGGCGAAGAATGCTGGCCGACGGCAGCCGAGTGGTCGGCCTTCAACACCACAGTCGGCGGCCGCCTCATCGCCACGATCCCCATCGGCGCCGTCTGCCACGACAGCACCTTTGGCGCCTACGACGAGGCCAAGTGCAGCGCCCTCCAGAATAGCTGGTCCGCCTCCGAGACACACATCCAAACCTCGTCATCCGTCATGGCCGCCTTCTTCGCCAATCAGAGCTGCGACCCGTTCCTCGCCAAGACGGACCGCTGCATCATCGGCACCTACGTCCAGTACGCTGTCAAGGCCGCCAGCGCCGACGACTACGCAAAGACGATCCGCTTCGCGCAGGACTACAACATCCGCCTCGTCATCCGCAACACGGGCCACGACTACCTCGGCAAGTCCACCGGTGCCGGCGCCCTCGCGCTCTGGACGCATCACCTCAAGGACATTAGCGTGCTCGACTACAAGTCCACGGCGTACACGGGCAAGGCGCTTAAGCTTGGTGCCGGCGTCCAGGCCGGCGAGGCGCAGTCCGCGGCACACGCCCAAGGACTCGTCGTCGTGGGCGGTAACAGCCCGACCGTCGGCATCGCGGGAGGCTACACGCAGGGCGGCGGCCACGGGCCCCTCGTCTCAAAGTACGGACTTGCGGCCGACCAGGTGCTTGAGTGGGAGGTCGTCACCTCGGGCGGCAAGACGCTCGTCGCGACCCCGACTTCCAACTCGGACCTGTACTGGGCGCTTTCCGGCGGCGGTGGCGGCGTCTACGCTGCCGTCTTGTCCATGACCGTCAAGGCCTACGCCGACACCATTGTCTCGTCTGCGAACCTGACTTTCACCAACTCAGGCGTCACGGACGATGTGTTTTACGGCGTGGTGACAACCTACCTCAAGACCCTCCCCGACATTGTTGACGCCGGTGCCGTTAGCATCTGGCTCCTCGCCTCGGGCGTGTTCCAGATGCAGCCTACGACCCTGCCCAACAAGACCAAGGAAGAGCTCCAGGTTCTGCTGCAGCCTACTCTCGACGCTCTCGATACTGCCGGCATCACCTATGGTAAGTTAGCGCCCTGAACCAGAATTGGAAAGAAGACAGAAAGATATTGATACATGCCGCAGACTTCAACATTGGACAGTACACCAACTTCCTGGATAGCTACAACGACATGAACCCGGAGCCGGCGGTGACTGAGTTCAACATTGGCGGCCGTCTCATGCCCCGCACCCTCGTCGCCGACGACGCCTCCGCGGCCAGCCTCATGACCGCTCTCAGAAGCATCCTGGACAACGGCGGCATCATCTCGGGTCTCACCATCAACGTCGCCCGCGCCGCCAACGCTGTCGCCAACTCTGTAAACCCGGCCTGGCGCACCGCCCTGTTCTCCGCCGTCGTCGGAACGTAAGTCTTGTCTTCCTCTGCTCTCTCACACTTGAGAAAAGCCCAGTACTAACACATGTCGTGAAAAGTGCCTACAGCCGCGCCGACTTCTCCACCCTCGTCTCGGGCCAGACCACAGTCACGGACACGCTCATCCCGGCTCTCAAGGCGCTGACGCCCGGCGGCGGCGCGTACCTCAACGAGGCGGATCGCAACGAGGTCGACTTCCAGTCCACGTTCTACGGCAGCGCGAACTACGCCAAGCTCAAGGCGATCAAGAAGCTCTACGACCCTTGCAGCACGTTTTACGCTCTGACGGGTGTCGGCAGCGATGATTGGGAGGTGCAGGGCGACGGCCGTCTGTGCAAGGCTGCGTGAGTTGTCGGCAGATGAGGGATGGAGAAGATGATCAGAAAGAAAAGGAGGCACTTACTCTTACTTTATTTGCATTATCGCGTTTTTGTAATTTTAATACCATCATGAATTCGTTCAGTGCCTCAAAAATGGAATCAATGGATGGCTTTCTTATTAAAGTGAGATGAAGTGAAGTGAGACGTTTCAACCAAGTCACGTCGATCATTCTCAAGCTAATTGTCAACCAATCACGTGTGGTAAGCAAGACGGATTGAGCAATACATTTTTCAAAGCAACCAAACCAATCAAATCTTTTCCAGCCCCCATTGTGGTTTACCCAACAATATCTCGCTTACGACACCTGACTGGGGCAATGAGCATCGACTTGAGTTGATTGAGTTGATTGACTAGACTCACCTTGTTAAGGTACCTTGTGGGAGTAATGGCAAGGCGGTATGAAAGCTCAAATGCCGTACTCTTTACGTAAGTATGTAAGGTAATCGAAAACGAGACGTCTTAGGCGAGCAACGTGCAATCTATCCTGTTTTCCCATCACCCAAAGGCTTCTACATAAGGCAAGGCAAACTCCTCGTCGGGGGCATCTTTGTTGGCCTTGGCCCAGGTACGGCAGATGGCTAGCAGTGTCAGTACCTAGAGTCAATGTTGAGCAGCTGCTGGGCTTGATCGTACCATCAGTGGCCTTCTGCGCGGCCTCGTGGCCGGTCAATCCGGCCGCAAGCATGCCTGAAGCGATGAGGTCAAGCTGGGCCTGTGGGATGCGTCAGTATACCGGGCACTCGGGAGTAACAGACTCGGTAAACAGTCAGAGACGTACCTGGAAGGCCTGCTTCGCTTCGGTGGTGGACATTGTATCGGGGATTGTGGTTGTTTGGGGAGTGTGGTTGTTGAGGAATGTATAGCTTGGGATGAAGAATAGAGTGCTACTCATGAATACTTCATAGGCTCAAGACACTAATGTCAACCAGGAAGTGATCAAAGACGAGTTCAAGCTGCCCGGTGTTCCTAGCCTGGATTACGAAGCCCTTGAACAATCCAATGGGCCACGACACCAGAGATGTAGGAGAACTCAAGGCCGCTTTCGCAGGCACTTGGCACGCCGAGGCAGCGTAAAGAAAGGTTGCTTCTGGGTTTTCTTGCGCTCGCTTTGATTAGAATATTCAGTCCATGACAGGTTTTTGTCTCCTCTTGGCCGCTTGGAAAAGTTTTCCCTGTATCACAATGATGCATCCAAGATTGAAGATGGCAGGGTAATACGAAGTCTTCAGAATGGCGAAAAAGATTGCTCACTCGCCTTGAGTTAAGTAGTATACTAGCTGTCATTTTTCATTCCTGCATTATCACAAAATCCCGGCCGGAATCTGGACAATCCCTTCGCATCCGTATTCGGTTTCCTCACCCATCATTCGGCTTGCTCGGCTCTTTTTTCAACGCGGCAAACACCACAACAAACCAATGAGAACCCGACCGCGGGATTGGCCCTCTGGGACCTGCATACTGGGATCTGACGGGGCTCGTGATTTGCTGACAGTCCAGATCTCAATTCTCGGATGCGCTAATCAGGGTGGCACCATCTGGAAGTCGTCGTTCCGGCGCATGTTCATGGGGTTTTGTAGATGTCGTTGACGTATGCGATATGAGCTGCGCCTCATTTCTCAGACGTTTGTAGTGAACAACTTACGGTAAGGTAAATGATTGAGACGAGAGGCCGGCCCCCCCGGAGGACCAGAGGCTCCCGGGGACCCGCTGGGACGGCGGGCGGCCGTTGCCCTGTGGCACACACCACAAATTTCCCAAATAGGCAGTGACCTCTCTAAGGTACCGAACTAAGCTTCCCGTCCCGCCGGCGCGCGCCCACCCCCCTTTGACCTTTGACTTTCCGTCTGAAATTTGTACAAGTCCAGACTCACCGCCAAACATCCCACCACCACCACCACCACCAATTCCCCCCCCAACGCTCGCTTCTTCTCCCTCCCGCTCTCTTCCTCGTCATTCATCCACCCCACGCGCAGCAGTCGAATACGGGGATCTCTTTTTTCCCTCCATCTACTCGTGTTTTGTAATCAATTGAGAAACGACCTCCACAGCAAACACCATGATCGCAGCGCCCTGGGACAAGGTCCCTCCCCGCGAACAGCTCTTCGTGCTGGTCACCGGCGCAAACAGGTGAATCACTACAGCCTGCCCCTCCTTCCTCGAACTTTGCTCTTCAATGCCAACTTCTACTCTCCCCGGACGTCGAACAGAGAATACAATGAGCTGACAGCAATCTCGAAACCAGCGGGGTCGGCCTCGGCATCTGCGAACGCCTCATCGACGACTTCCTCGCGACCCGGCCCCTAACCTCCCACCTGATCCTCATCCCGACCACCCGCTCCGTCCGCAAGTCCCGCGAATCCGTCGAGTCCCTCCGCCAACACCTCCGCGGCACGGCAACCACCTCCCCGGCCCTCCGCTCCCGTGCCGGCTCCTCCTACTACGACCCCGACGACACCCTCGCCCGCGTCCACCTGCTCTCCACCCAGCTCGACCTCTGCGACCTCCCCTCCGTCTACGCCTGCGCCGCCAACCTCGTCGCCGGCACCCTCACCGACCCCACCGACCCCGTATCGCCCCCGCGCGCCTACAAGATCCCCCGCCTCGACTCCGTCATCTTCAACGCCGGCTTTGGCGGCTGGACCGGCCTCGACTGGGCCGGCCTCTTCACAGACACCTTCACAAAGGGCCTCCTCGCCGTCCTCACCTGGCCCTCCTTCAAGCTCGCACGCCCCGGCGCCGTCCTGAACCAGCGACCCGTCCGCTCCGACCTGGTACCCACAGACTCCCCCGATAACCCCCTCTCCCTAGCCTCCGCTTACGATACCAAGCCCTCCTCCCCCGTCCTCGGTGAAGTCTTTTGCGCAAACGTCTTTGGCCACTATGTCTTTGCCCATGAGCTGTTACCTCTCTTAAGCAGGGCCACACCCGAAGAGACGCCCGGCCGCGTCGTCTGGACAAGCAGCATCGAGCCTCAGGCGCGCCACCTCCGTCTCGACGATTTCCAGGGCGTCGAGACGGAAGGGCCGTACGAGTCCTCCAAGCGCCTGACGGACGTGCTCTCTCTATCATCTCACTTACCCGCCACGCAGCGCATAGCCAAATCCTACTTCACACCCGAAGACCCCCAGATCGCGCAGCGCCTACCAGTTCGTCCTTCCTTTTATCTCACACACCCGGGCGTAGTCGCCTCCAACCTCTTCCCCGTGCCGTTCCCCTTCATCCTCTTTTGGGCTTACAAGTTTGCGCTCTACCTCGCCCGCTGGCTGGGCTCGCCCTGGCACCCCGTGACGGGGTACAACGGCGCCGTGGCGCCCGTCTGGATCGCGCTGCAGGACGACGAGACGCTGGAGGAGCTGGAAGCGAAGAAAATTAAGTGGGGGTCCGCCGCGTCGTTTTCGGGCCGGCAGGACGTGAAAAAAACAGAGGTGGAATGGTGGGGGTGGGAGGGCGCCGTCGAGGACCGGGAGTCGCTTGCGAGAGATCCCGCGACGGGCGTGCTACGCAAGGCTGTCGGGCGGAATCCCGGTGCGAGGGACTTGACCAAGGAGCAGCTTGTCGATTTCGAGGCGTTGGGGGTAGATATCTGGACCGAGATGGAGAGGTTGAGGCAACAGTGGGAGGAATTTCTCGATATTCGCGGGGAGGGCGTCAATGGTCACAGTCGCACCAACGGCAATGGCAAGTCTGGATGACTTGGAAATCTGTCTCAGAACACGCGATATGAGATGGGAAAGACGTAAGACGGTTTGTTTTGCGAAAAACATATATGGGGGTATCCAAAATTAACTATATAGCACAACAAGACTAATGCCTAATTACCAACACAACAAACACCAACAATTCCGTCTACCGCTACGTATGACATCCATACCGGACATCAGCCCCGCGGCCAAAGAGTTCATCTACGGATCCGTCGTCTGTCGCGTGCTCGCCTCGTCCGACCTCACACGCCGGAGACTGACCCTATCACTCCGCCCAAACAAGCCCAGACACAACGGCAGCGGCACGATGACGAGTGCGACAACGGCCTGGAAGATGAGCGCGTTCTTCATGTTCTTGGGCGGGTTCGCCTTGTCGTCCGCCTGCAGCGCGTCGGAAATAATGATAAAGATGGCACCGAGAAGCTGTCCTCCCGCCCAGGCGATTGTGCTCGTGACCTCTGGGCTGACGGGGTGACTGAGCTCAATGAGGAGCTCGAGCGCGACGGGAACCAAGGAGAAGGACGCCGCGCCGAGGACGGCGAGGACGACGTAGGGACCCGCGATGTTGCGCGTCTCGGGCATCCAGATGAAGACGAGGTAGCACAGTCCGATGACGGGGACGGCGACTTTGATGGCGGGGATGAATTTCTTTGTGCGGTCGAGGATCGGGGAAGTGATTGCGGACGCGACGAGGCCTACCACGATGAGGAGGGCGCCCGCGATGCCTGCTTCCTCGTCTGTGAAGCCGTAGGGCCCCATCATCTGGTTCAAGAGGGAGGAGATTGAGTTGAAGAAGCCGACGTAGAAGGCGTAGGGGAGGAGGATGAGCCAGAGCTCGAGGGAGCGGGAGACGATGGACAGAGAATCGCGGATGCCGAGCTTGAGGGTGCGGGAGGAGGGCGCGACGGGGGTGGGGGGCGCCGCGGGGATGAAGAAGGCCGGCAGGGAGGCGACGGTGGAGATGATGGCGACGTAGAGGACGCCGGGGGACATGTCCTGCGGGTCGACGACCCAGAAGGGCACGATGAGCTGGCCGAGGGCGGCGCCGAGCGGGTTGGCGAGGGATGTGAGGGCGGTGGCGGCGACGCGGCCGCGGTTGGTGAACCAGAGGTCCGAGTAGCGCGTCGGCGCGGCGAGGACAAAGGGCTGGGCGAGGCCGGTGAGGATCTGGCCGAACATGACGACGCCGTAGTTTCCGCCGGTGGGCGAGCGGGAGTGGGAGCCGGCGAAGCGGATCCAGTTGCCGACGAGGATGAGGGCGGCGGCGGTGATGAAGGAGGGTTTGGGGCCCATGTGGAGGATGCGGATGGTCAGGGGGAAGATTGCGACAAAGGCGAAGAGGAAGGCTGTGGAGAGCCAGTTGATTGCGGATTCGGAGACGCGGTAGTATGTTGCTGCGTTTGAGGCTACGGGGGCGAAGGTGAGCCACTGTGGGTGGTTTGGCGTTAGTATCTTTGGTCGAACTGTGATATTGGGGCTTTTGGTGTTTTGGTGGTTTGATGCAGGATAGGTAGCAGGAAGTGATTATTCGCCAGCCTTGTTGACGGTGTGCTGTACGATCGATGGTGGCTTGTTTGATGCAGGTACCCGTATACAAATCTTGCGATTCGTTCACAGTTCGCGTTTATAATTCGACAAGAGGTTATAAGAAGATGATTCGACTTACATCCCACGAGACAATGATGTTAAGCAACGTCAACTGCGCGAGGCCGAACCAGCGGCGCTTATACGTGCGATACTCGATAGCCGTTCCCTCGAGGACGCTATTATTGTCGCCGTCGATACCAGCACCAGCGACACCACCCGCCCCCGTGATGTCGTTGTCGCGAGACCGGGAGTCCACATCGCGGAGGTTGTACTCCTCGTCGCCGAGCTTGCCAAAGCCGGAGCCGGGGTGGGCGTGGTTCGGCATTGCCGTCGGGGCGGCAGCGGCGTCGACGGGGGATTCGAGAGCGGCGTCAACGGTAGCGGGAGTAGGGTTCGCGGCCGTCTTTTCGTTCTCGTTTACACCGGTATGCGGTGTGGTGGTTGTAGTGGTGGTGGTGTTCGTGGTGTCGTTGGTGGGCGGAGTGGAGTTGTCGACTGAGGGGTCGTTCTCCTTCTTCTGACGGCGGGAGAAGTGCATTTTGTGTGTGTGTGTGTGTGTTGTTGGGTCCCAGTGTCTTTTAGTGGGCGCGAGCGCCAACGGGCCAGAACTTTTGCGCGCTAGGGAGCCCGATCTTTGGTTGTAGGGGGGCGTCGGGTGTCGCAAGTTTTCCTGAGACAGCGGGTGAGTGGGCGGAGCCACGGAGCACTGGGTTCGCCCAGGGCAGGTTGTGGACAGTGGATTAGCGGGCAGGGCGGGCGGGAGATTGGCCTAGGCGTGTCTTGGCAGGGAGTCCTTGACTTTTCCAGTCGTTCCACCCTTTTTGGTCCTGCGGGATTGGACTGGACTGTAAAGGCCTGTGATTGTTGGTCGTCGTCTCGAGTTCCTCCTATTTCCTCCAACACTGCGCGGAGATGGGACGAGGGGCAATGCGCCGGGTTTGGGGGGGGGGGGGGGAGAAGAGCGCAAAGAAAGGTAAGCCCAACACCAAAGTCACGAAAAGCCAAGAGGAGGAAAGGATGGGAACCTTGGGAGGAAATGGAACAGGGCCGGAGAAAAGAAATATAATAAGCTGAAGAAGAGAAAGCGGGAAGGTCGACTTAAAAAGGAACCTCTGCCCTGAACGGAATATTGGCAAAATCAACAAGACGCGGGAGGTGGGAACAGGAACAGGAACAGGAACAGGGGGCCAGATGCAGTGCAACTGATGCGGGAGATACCCAGAGAAGGAAAGGTAAGGTATTCAATCAATCAATCCCATCTCAAAAACTACAGAAGATCCCTCGAGTCCAACGGCCCAACTTCCCCGGTCTGGACTGGTGTGTACCCTGTGCTTTTGGTGTGTGCCGTGGGCCGTGTATGTTGGTCCAGACGATTCTTCACTTTCCTGATCCTCTCAAGTTGCATTACATTGAGGGGGGGACATGGCGCCCAAACTCTCCACCGAGCGTGCTTTTTTATGAAGCATTGGCGTACGACTATTCACTATCCCACTTGACCAAAATTCCCGTATGAAGTCGACATGTCAGGTGTCGCGAACTGGATGAATGACAGAAAGAGCAGAAAGAGGGGAACGAAGCTAAGCTAAGCTCACATTCAAAGATGAACCACTGTACCCAGAAAGCTTGACTGCAGCATCGTAGCATTCGCCGATGGCTCACATGCCCATCCCAGCCGAGGAAGAAGAGATATGCATGTAGGATTGTACTTGGTACCTAATCACCCATCATCTGAGATATCCCAGAATGCAACCAACAGAATCGGGGTTGCTCTCAAAGTCCCTCTAATCCGTACTGGTACGGCGCAGCAACCGACCGGCGGCCCTTCCCCGTCCCCCTCGGCCCTCGCCCTCCCCCATTGGCCCGCCGCCCCGGCCGATTGCCTCTCTTTGGGCCACCTCCTCCGGGTCCCATCCTCCGCTCCACAGGGTAAACATGTACACTACTCGGAAGGGGCCCTGTCCCGAACCCAAAAGCCTGAGCAAAAGTGTCTCTAGAGCCGAAAAGGATGCCCATTGTTCAATTGAAGATATATCCTACCTGAGGAATGCAAAAAGACCAAACAAGAAGCTAGATGACCTGAAGCAAATATACCTAGCTACGATAACCTGCGTACAGCAATGTGAATCTCTCGACTACCATTGACGTATCCCATTTGCTGTTCGAAAACACCCATCGTCTCATCAACTTCGCCGCACACGAGCAGATTTACTGCGTTCCCGGGGGGTTTGCCATCCATGCCTGCCCGTCCTCCGTCGTCGCGCCATAACCTCGCCTCGCCTCGCCTCGCCTACAGAGTAAGAGGCTACGAATGCTCTTTCCGAGATGAGCTGATCAGCATTACCTTCTTTCGTTGAAGTTTGTCATAAACACGCGGCACAGTACACTCGATACATACTCCGACAACCTCCCTCCCTGACCTGCAGCCCGGGATATTTTAGATGAATGAGGAAACCTCTCTCCACGGTCTCGCAAATCTACGCCATGGCTGCTGCTTGAAGGACTCCAAAATGCCATCTCACTCTCGGTTCAAGAAGCCATCTATTTTTTCGTCAAGATTGAGAAAGCCCCCAATGCTACTCGGCCGTAGATCACGTCTCATCATGCGGAATAGCCGTGTGCAGGTAAAAGTCATGGAGGAATCTATTGCGCGATATGCCTATGGTACAAAAGACAAGATCTTTCGGCGCCGCAAGCCAGACAGCGCCCACTACTGAGCAACTCGGCTTGACGAGCACCGTTGGGGGGGAGGAATGGAGGTACAAGGGGTCGGTTGGAGATCCCAAAGGGAACTCCGGGATCGATTTGCTAGACAGTCTCGTTCTTGTCTTCATCGCGTCTCGGCAACGACGTTTCTCTTCCGCGCCCGAGCCCACTCTCCTAGAAATAGAATACCAGTCGTCCAATGCCGCTAATGCGAATAATGGGCTCGGCCTCGAAAAAGAAGGTGAACCGCCGATGCCGTTCCGTCGTTCGTCGTCTACGATGTCGAGACTTGGAAATGTTGCATTTACTTGAGCTTGGCCCAGAGCTTGGGGGCGGCGCACTGGGTGGCGCAGTGAGCGAGGTGGAAGACTACACCACAATGTCAGCCTTCGCCAGTCCTGTAGTGAGGTTCTTGGACCGTCTGCCATCTGCCCATCATATATATATATGACGGGCAGATGTAGACCTCGGTGACAACTTACACTCCTCAACGCAGTCCTCCTTGGCACCCTCCTCGCTGTCGGCAGCCGCCGTGACGCGCTCGACACACTCGTCGTAGTGGTGCTTGGCCGGTGCGCAAGCCTTGGACTCCTCGCAGTCTGTCACCCCAACATCGTCAGCAACTCGTTCTGTAGAATTTCGAAATATCGGACAATCGCGTCTGGCCGGTAGATAACGTTGGGAAGCAGGCGTTCGGGTGTCGATGGGGGAGCTCGCAAAAATGCTCATGTGCGTGTCATCGATTGTTTCCCGCCCAGCAAACCGGATATCGCGTATCGCCATCGTGATTTGTGTCGGGGATTCCGGGAGTGGTAAAAATCAAAAACAAACCTTTCTCGAGCTGCTCCTTGGGGTCGAGGGTCTCCTCCTCATCCTCCTCTTCCTCTTCCTCCTCCTCCTCCTCCTCTTCCTCCTCCTCGGCCTCGGGCTCCTCCTTGGACTCCTCCTCGGCGGTCTCCTCCTCCTAAAGAAAAGGGAACATTAGTCAAACGATTCAGGTTTGTCGGAGAATGCAGAACGAATGCAAACAAGGGCCGCGACGAAAGCAGGAATGTGGTCGTCGCCCGATCTCAGATCATGCCCTGCAACAAATTGCGCGCAAAAAAAAAAAAAAAAAGCTTCGCTCACCTTCTCCTCGGCGGCAGGAGCCTCGGCCTCGACGGTAGCCCATGGCATGGCGGCCTCAGCGAGGTCCGTGATGGTATCCCAGAAACCCATTGTGGCGGAGGTGCGTGCTGCTCTCGAATTGGCTTGACGTGATGTCGTGGATAGTGGTTGATTGGGGGTGGGAAGTCGGGAGCTTTCGGCAGGACGTCGAGGGAACGAAAACTGGGTGTTCTGAATCGGTCGTAAGTTATTCCCAATTGACCCGTTTTGATTGGCTCTGGTGGAAAGGCTGGGTGACTAAGCGTCATCGACCGCGGGAACCGCCAACGTGACCGTGGGCCGGAGCGCCAAGGATCTACCGTTCCGGTGCTGCTACCTCCAGTGCCTTACCTCCATACCGGTACTTACCTTACTACTACGTACAGGTAGGTACCTTACCTTACTTCACACCTTTGAGACCGGCCGAAGGCTCCAAAGCCACCATCTCGTCACAATCACATGGAAAAGTGGAAAAGCAGAGGAAAAAAGATCAGGCGAAAGAAAGTTACGGAGGAAGAAAAGTTACTCGCATGGTTGCGTCAAGCTTCCCAGCGTTAAATTCAACCATCACGCTTACTGAGTTGGCAGCCACTCATCACACAAGGTCTTGTCCATCTATACCTTGTGAGCCGGCTCGCGCACACGTATTGCCCCATCTCTTGTTCCTGGGGGCTATGCATCCCAATCCTTGTCCTCGTCCTCGCTCTTGTCCTCCTCATCAAGACGTGCTTGTCATTCTCTACACTTCAAGTCCGTTAAGAAACGCAAGATCCGCCAGCCGCTAGTGTAGATGCTATAAAAAGTTACAGGTGTAGGGAGTGAAATGCAGGGAGGTATCGATGCAGAAAGCGTTAGTCATGAGGCCGTGATGAATCAAACCCCCCGCTATGCTCTGTCAGACTCTTCGCGAACGTGATCCTCGAGTCGCATGCTGAGCGTCTGTGCTTGCGCCTCGTCATAATCTGGTGGGGGTTCGTCCGGACGCCGGTTCGCATTCTGACCCCCTGAACTTGCCGGCCGGCCTGCCGACTCTTCCTGTTGCTGCTGCTGCTGCTGCTGTTGCGGCGCCAGATTGCTCGGAGCTGCTCCGCCGCCCTCGGTTGCTTCGTAGGCCGGCAGCGGCTCGTCCGGAATGTTGACCGTCTGTCCCGTTTCCTGCTGCAGACGCCTCACATGTTCAAGACGTTCCTTGAGCTCTTCGAACCTTTGCCGGAACTCGCTATGGCCGCCCTCCTTGAAGCTCATCTTCACCTCGACCCGTGGTATGTCGGCAGGCACGCCGCCTCCGGAGACGGGCACGACGGTGGCGGACCAGAACCAGGCGCCAAAGAACGGCGAGCCAACGTAGGAATCGGCGCAGTTCAAGATTGGCGCGTGGAACGACTTGAAGTCGGCGGTAGGTTTTGCAGGAATGTAAATGACCTGGAGCAGGGTGATCAGCTTCGCCCTCTGGCGCCATGTCTTGGAATAAGTCATGTAGTGCGTACCCGCTGTGTTGTGATGTATGCTGTGCCATTGTCGCTCTTGCGCGCAAAGGGCGTCCTTCCTTGCTGTAAGGCCTTGGGTACCGACAGCTCGAGGCTTACTTTGGCATTGGATCTGTGTCTGATGTGTTCGTGAGGAAGAGGGTTGATATCACCCGTTTGGGTGATCATGACCCAACTATCACCATGGTCAGAATCTAGGCGGGCCTGGGCAAGCTGTCGTTCTCTCTGGACGGTGCGGGCAATGGTAAGGGCATGCTGCTCTTGCAGATACTGATCCGTCATAGTGGACGGCGAGTGTGGGGTGGTATATAGCCGAGAGAGGAGAGAGAGAGAGAGAGAGACAGAGAGAGAGGAGGTTGACGGTCGAGGTTGGCAGCGGGGTTACCACGGATACTAACCGGGATGGCTCCGTGGTGCTGGGGCTCGGGGCGGCGTGGGATGACGGGAAGATGAAGGGGAAACAGAGGCAGAGCATAAGAGGGAAAAGGGACATGGAGGGACGTACTTTATTGACATTTTGAACGAAACAGCGAGCAGCTGCAGCGCAGAGCTTCCTAGTTCGTCTCAGCGAGTTGAGGGTTGCGTGGGAGTGGGCGTGGTCGGTAGCGGCAGGGCTTGCAGAGAAGCTTCGGAGATCTGGATTGTGGTGGGGTGGATCCTGGTACAGGCACAGGCACAGGGGAGGTACTTTGTGGGAAGGGGAAAAGGGCGTCGCGTTCTGGGCAGCGGCGAGGGCGGCGTCGGCATCGGCGTCGGCGGGTGTCGATAAATTGGTGAGGTGAGGCAAGGTGAGGAGGTGAGGTGCTGCTGTTGGGTTGCTGGTGCTGCTGGTGCTAGTGCTGGTACTGCGGCTGCGGCTGCGGCTGCTGTTTGATACACCTCAAGTCGAGGCGGCGGCCGGCAAAGAGGAGGGCGAAGAGAGTGAGTAACTAAGTGCCCAGTGGAAGAGGCGCACCAGAGGGGTGGGAAAGGAAGCAGAGAGGCTGATAGCGTCAGTCAGGTTGGTATTAGCTGGGCGGATAAGAATGGAAGGGTAAGGCAAGGCACAGGGCAAGGTCAGGTTTGGTAAGGTATATGGGAGAGTGGACAGGGTATTCTCGGAAAGGGTGGAGGAAATAAGGTACCCTACCTTGTGGCTACTTGCAAGAGCCTAGAGCCTAGAACGAGGCAAGGCCCGACAAGGCCAGGCAAATAGATGTCGTAGTCGGTACTCTGTATCCGTAGAGGGCAAAGAGGGCAAACGGCTCAAGGGAAGGGGGCGGGCCAGACAAGATGACACAGCTCAACCAAATCAGAGAGACAGAGAGAGGAGAAGGCCAAGTTGCGGCAACTACTCTGGCTAGTCCGACGACGGTGGCTGGGGAAGTTCGGATGCGTAGGTAGTCGAGGTGGGGGAGGGGTTCTGTGACAAGACAAGCAATGGTGTGATGAGACGGGATGGGATGAGAATAGCTAAGGTATGAGGAGGAGAAGGAGGAGGAGGAAAAAGAGGATTCTCTCTCATCAACCTGAGGTGAGATGGGTGTGTAGTGAACGGAGTAAGGTAGTCAGTCACGTACTTAGTGTAATGCGGATAAGGTGGTCGACGAGACAAGGTGAGGTGAAGAAAGCCCAAGTACTTCCGTGCCTCTCCCGGCTCTCCGTACCCAAAAGGTACTTTAGCCACTAAGGTAAGGTAGCCGCAGCTGTTCGTACGTGGTTCTTCTTCTCCTTCTCCTTCTTCTTCTTCTTCTTCTTCGGCTTGGGGGAGCGGGGGAGACCCAATGAGAGACACCGGCGCGCCGCGCAACTGGATGAATGTGTGTCCAGAGAGGCGAGAGTGCCGATAGGCCCAATACTCAAGTGTGTGTGTGTGAGTGAGAGTGTGTGAGTATTGATTGGATCCAGGCCCCCCTCCAGGTGTCTCCAAAAAGTCTCCAACTGACTCTAGGCCGTTTAGTTGCGTCCTGCGTCTTTGCGGGTTGCCAGGACTCTTTTCTGTGTACTCCGTACCCAACTCCCTTTCTGCTGCTAGTTCACGCAAGTCGTCCAACGTCTGTCGATTCGCCGTGTCTTGTTTGGTCCGCTGCTCAGTACTCGCTGCTGTTGGGTTCCATTTGTTTGCTTCTGACATCCGCGCAGGAGAGAACTATGGCTACCTTGCCTTAGCGTGCAAGGTACACGGCACGCAGCTTGCTTCTTTTTTGCCTGCTTCCGCTCATCACTGCTCCTGCGTGAAGAACGATGGAGTCTCGGCTGGAGTACTCGTATGAATCGTTTTTCCTGCCCTTGATTCTCCTCCTCCTTCTCCTCCGGTCTGGGTAAAGTGCTCATCCACCAGTCGTCGAGAGGTTTGTAGGTTGCAGGTGTGGATGAGGTGCCAGCGACATGGGCCCTCTGGGTCAGAACTGCTGCAGCCCAGAACAAGACTCTGGACGAATGAGCTCAGCGCTTGGCCAGGGTTGGCTGGGTCGGTCCTTTGCGACCACACTGCAGGCATGGATAATGGGGGGGAACTCTGTGCGCCGCGCAGTAGCAGGCGCATTGGATCACGCAGACTCGCAGTAGCACCAGGCCTGGGACCCGTCTGCTCAATGCAAATTTGTGAGATTGCGGAGCTTGAAGCGACGTCGTCCTGCAGTTGGCCCAATCGACTGACCCTGGGGTCTGTACTTGATCTGATCCGTCCGAGGTTTACCTGCCAGCCGGCGCAAAAGTGGGAATGGTGTCCAAGTTGCCCCCTACCTCTGCCTAGGGAGCCAGGCTGTGGTAAGTCTTGACTAAGGACCGACCGACGGGCGACACCCAAGGACAAGGTCGACGACAGTCGACCGAGATAGCAAGTGGCTGCGGCTTCTGGCATCTGCTGCTGGCATTCCCGTCTGCCCTGCGTTGCGCCGCCGGGCTGCTACCGGTAGTAGTGTAGGCGCGAATAGAGTAACAAGTAGCAGTCATTGACCTTGGAGATCTCTCTCCAAGAGGGACGGATGACCAGGTCTGGGACCAGATTGCCAGGAAGAGTGCAGGCCAGGGATCTCGGGATGGACGCGCCGATCCTTTCGCACCCAACTCGAGCCAGGAACCCTCGTCTTGAAACAAAGCCTCCATGAAGCTCTCCCGTCTGGATTGGCTCGGTGAGCGACTTTCACCTTGTGACGGCAACGACAATCCCTCGAGCCATGATGCCAAGGTCACCATCTCCAGCGCGACTGCTCGGATATCCCAGAAAGGCAGTGAACCATGATTATGAATCCAAGCAGGGCACGCCCGTGTCTTGGTGCCTGAAGATGACTCCGACGAGTCCGAGAACCATCTCCTTCGTACCTAATCGCCCTGTCTGCCTGTACGACTTTGGTCGTGGTCGTGGCATGCCTAGCTCTAGACTGTCGATATCAGTCATGGGACATTGTGAACCCTGAATGCTTCCACCGCGGACACCCCAAGGCCCCAAGCCGACGCAACGCGCGGCGCGGCATATGTCTCACGCAAAGACCAGACGAACAGATGTCAGTTGTTTTGCATGTTTTAGAAAAAGAAACGAAGGTGTCTCCCCCCGAGTCAAGCGGAATGACTCGAAATAGCTGCTAGCTATCAGCTCGTGCCGCAGACATACGCAGTTGAAGCAGAGAAACGGGAATGATTAGAATGGGGAGCTTGAATTGAGACCTTGGGACTCGGGAGGGAGACTTTGTGGAAACCATCCAGTGTTTTCCCCTTCCCGTTCCCCGTCAAGACCAGTACCATCTATGATCTTCAGCGGCCCGGGACTTGCCATGACATCGGGGCCGTCGAGCATGCGGTCGTTGGGCTTTGTCCACCTACGTCCCACAGTTAGCCAATCTAATGCCAGAGGGAGACCCAGCCAGAAACAACTTTGCAAAAGCAGCGCCAGTGGCGGGCTTGCATTCATCGTCAAGGACGGAGTACTCTGGTAGCGAGTGCAGCGTGGTCGGCCACATGCCTGCGCGGTACCCAGATGATACTCGGTACCCCTGGTCATTGTCCTGCTTGGAACCCGGTAATAAACGGAGATCTCTGGCGGGGGTTTCTGGAGGAGAAGGAGGAGAAGACCAGGGGTCTGGCGGCGTGATGGCCGTGGAAAACTCATGTGCTTGACAAGCAGAAGCCGGACGGATAGTGAGATGGACAGACCCTAGACTCGTTGGTGATGGATAGCCAGTGACGAGCGCTCTGTGTCATGACGTTGGAGTCGTCGCCATCTCGGTATCTCCCTCTTGGGCCGGCGATTGGCCCCGGTGAGTGAGGGGTATGGCTACTATAGCCCAGATTTGGGGCCAATGTTGCATTGCCAATGATTTGAGAGGTTGTTGAAGGGGACGCAAGGTATACGGGGCATACAAGCAGAGGCCAGCGTCTATTAGCACACAGACATTGTTGTTTGGTGGAAAAGTAGACGGGTCGAAAAGAGTTACGACCACTGCAGGATCGCATCACAATTTCTTGATGCTCGCGTGTTTGCCTCTGGATATCTTTGAAAAACTAAGATGAAGTAGGTAGGTATTCCGAGGTAAGGTGGATGGATGGGTGGTATAGTGATGTGTTGGAGACACAAATGACAAGAATGCAGTCGGAGAAGGAGGGCCCCAGCTCGTAATCCTCTCCTGCCAAACAAAATCTTGCTCTAATGCTCAATGCTCCTTCTCTTCATGGACTCCATTTCGTGCCTTCCCTCGTTCAGGTAGCTTACGATACTTTGGAACCTTCCAGATAACATTTGTCGCCACGTGAAGTCGTGATAAGGTAGGTACAAGAAGCATCGTCGCTCTTGCTCTCAGACTCGGTGTAAGGCAAGGTACGTTAGGTACCTGAGGAGCGACATTGACCATTGGTCGGGAGTGCGAGGCGCTGCTTCCCAATTGGAGCTTGAGATTTCGTCGTCTTGTCGCACTCGCTGGCTCCGTCCGAGTCTAGATTCTTTCCCACCTTACCTCACGAGTTACCATTGGCAATTGCCCCGAACCTCACCTTGCTTACACCGGGCTTACCTCACTTACTGACAAGATACCTTACTTGGATACTCCTCCGTACGCACTATCTTCCTACCTACCTGAGGTACCCGCTTGACCTTACTCGTGGCTGGGCTCGGCGACACGGCGACACCAGACAGGCAACGTATTCCTCCCGACGCAACGAATATCCTTCTCTTCTTTCGGCCGCAGAGAAGCACGTCGCCTACGTCTGCATCCACCATAATTCAAGATTCTGACCGCTTGTCCCGCATCGTCTGCCCTCTTTCAGGAACATGCGAACTCCCGAGGGGGGCCAGGGCCACATCTCGGACACTTGGAGCCGACCCATCTCGAAGCCTACCTTAACCAACTTCCCTGTCCGCCAATGTCCCCAAGCTCCGGGCGACAAAAGTCGCGCGGCACAGCCAAAGAGCTGCATGAGAAGCGAGCCCACGCCGCACACACAATATCATTATCAACAGCACTTTGACGAATAATCACGCTACGACTACATACGTATATACGCGCTCTATCGTCTTTCCCCGCTGGCCCATGTCTCATCATGTGACCGATCGACCCATTCGCCTACGGTGTACATGCTGCCGATCGACAGGCTGGTCTCTGTCTTATAACTGCTCCTCCGGTCTCACCACCGGCGATAAATGTGACCGCCGTCTGCGCACACTGGCGACGAGACTGGTTCGACGTGTGAGCGAGAGGCGGAGATATAATCAGCCAATGGCAACAGTCCGCCAATGAATCCGACGGTTCTAGGTCCCTTCATTCTCCGGCAGGCATTACTTGAGACTGCTGCACCTCAACTCCACCAGTCTCACTATCGAATTCCTGCCTACACCCACATAGGCTGTTTATCCGTCCGTGTTCCCTGGACCCGGTAGATGGGCTATTCTACCAGGCTCCTATCGCGCCTTTCACAATCATCTGGGCCCGCGGTCTGTTGCCGCCTCCTCGTTTATTGTGAACAACGAGTTACAACGCTGCTGCATCGACCAAACGTCTCTGCAGAAAATGGAATGTTGGAAACATCTAGAAGGCCACACAGCGTCTGACTCTGCGTAACTGCCAAGTTGGCACCGCAGCCGTATCAGCCTACACAGTAGTGTACATACCGAGAGTGCCTTACCGCACCGCGTACGGATGCTGCGCGCAGATGCTCCGTGATGGTCCCCCACCAAGCACAAGCCTCCAACGTGCATTCCTGCAAAGCCCACCCTCCTCCATCTGGGACGGCATGTGATTGGAGGGGCTGTCCCACGGCGGCTCCCGAGCATCCAACTTCACCCGAACCCCAGCTGCGTCGAACGTTTGACCTCTGGAGACCAAGACGATGCGAGCCACTGTCTAATACGTCCGTACAATATCTTCGGCTTGAGCATCGTCACCTTCAACCGAGGTTCTGTGATTGCTACAAAAATATCGCTTCTCAGTTTGTCTGCGCACAAAGATCCAAAAGCTCACAACCCATTCCGCTACCGATTAGTTGTTTGACGCTATCATGACCAACACGCACGACGAACGAATTGCAGCTCTTCAAAAGTTCACCGCTTGTGACATTTCGGATGCACTCGTAAAGCTCAAAGTGCCCGGGGCTGGCTTCCTACCTGATCTGCAACTGCTGAGCCAACCGAACCCCGCAGACGCTCCCATCACCATAGCACCGGCATCCACGATACTCTTCGTTCGAAAGGGGGAAACGTGGGATTCGCCCGCGGCAAACATTCCTAAAAACACTCATTGGGCTGATATCACCCAGCCGGGTACCATCGTGATCATCAGACAGCCCGACGGGCAGAAGAATGCCGTCTGCGGAGGCATCATGGCTGTGAGGATGAAGGTTCGGCAAGCGAAGGCGATCGTAGTAGTAGGTCGTGCCAGGGATCTGGACGAACTAACCAGTACGGGTCTACCGGTGAGTCGAACAAACCACCCAGGTCCTTTACCATCTTCCCCAAGTCCCCTCATCATCTCACCGGTCGCTGAACCTTCTTAGGTCTGGTCGAGGGGACTCTCCACGGTTGGTGCAGGGGCAGAGAGTACCCCTTGGGCAGTCGAAGTACCTGTTAACGTCGATGGCACGGTTGTCAACCCTGGCGATCTCGTTTTCGCTGATCCGGTGAATGGGGTTGTCGTCATCCCCAAGGACAAAGTCGACCAGGTCCTGGAGCTCCTCCCCAAGCTCACAGCTGCCGACGACAAGGTCAAGGCGGACGTGCTGAATGGGACATCCGTGTTTGATGCCTTTAAGGCGCACCGGAGCAATCTCTAAATACATTTGGAAGGTTATGACCATACCTTACCGGGAACTTTCGGGCTCGACTGGATGATGAAATCCTGTGGGTTGCAAGTCATTTACTGCGTCGGCAGAGGTGTCTCACTTCGACGAAGACACCTACTCCTACATCGTGACTTTACGGAAAACGCTGGGCAAGGCAACGCTGGGTCTCTTCACAGTGGGGTGGTACTCGTTCGTGGGACAATGTCGTTATCCAAGGACCTGGATAGGGGGGATGGAGGCGTCCATTGGGGGCTACCTATGCAATGCATAACCCATCTTCTCGTCACAAATCCCTTGCGACTCCAACGCACTGATACTGACGACCACAAGGGTCCTTCAAGCGAGCTACCACCACCATGACAGTCAGACCTCATCCTTAACTTCTTCCTATAGGACCTGACCCTGACGCTCCTTTACGAATCATGAACCGACACCGCGCTCTGATCTACCGACCAGCGGCCCGCGGGAAAGGAAAAAGAGCTGGCTGTCGGGCAATTCGTGCAAATGTGCTGACCCCCCGTCATCTCCGAGTCTCCCAAGAAACTCGTCTGCCATTTTGAGGCCCGACGACATTGTCTGACATCCGTGCCCTCGGCTCAGGCTGGCCCCCTGGTCTCTTTCGTCCCCCCTTCCCCCTCCGCTTCTCTTCTTTCCTCTTGTCTCTATCACCTTTGACTTTGTCCCGCGTTCACGGATAATCAGGTGCCTCTTCTGATGATGAGTTCGAGCTCGACCAGGCTTTCTGTCAGAATTCAAGTTTCACAGGTCGCCTGTTTCCCCCCACGGAACGGGAATGAAATCTTTATCGACGGAGGGGAGGGGCCCAGATCTTGCCATACGACTCGGAAACTTGATACCAGTTTGGATATGTTTGCGCTCAAGAAGGCTGTTGAACGGTTGTAAAGCCCATAAGACCCTGGTATAAAGGCATCGCCTGGGGTAGTCTGTCTGATGACAAGGGGGAATCAATCAACTCGCCTTTACCTCATGTCCTACTTGCCGGATGGCCGAGCACACGGAACGCAATCTGAAAAAAGGTACACAGATACCTATAGAGAGTAGGAGAGACTCAGCCTGCCGTTGGCAAGCAGCGCAAACTTGCCCTACGAATCCCGTATTCCATGGTTTCTGTGAGATTCAAAATCGTTTTTGCTATAGTGGAATAAAGCACGTAGGGCCATATCGCGCCGTACTGTGTAGTCAGCTTATATACCGCATCGAATGCTTTCCTTGAAAACCTAGATCCGGTCAAGGTCGTGATCTCTTGCGCGTGTAAAGTCGGAGGGGGGATCGGCGCTCAAAGACAAAGACGGCATGACTAGAAGCATTCGATTCAGTCCCTTTTCATTCCCTTCTTTTTCCCTATTCCCCTCATTAATGAAACAAAAAAACGAACGGATAGGCTACACAGCACAAGAAAATAATGGCTTTTTCTATGTATGATGATCATCAATTCATAAACGTTGCCCTTCATAAGAAGCATTAGGCAGCATGATGTGTCTCCCTCTCCCTCTCTCCATCCTCTCACTCCTCTCCCCTCGTCTCTCTCGTTCTCACTCTGTTTGTGCGTTGTGTGCATGTATACCCAGGACAACTTCTCTCTCTCTCGCGTCCCCTCACCTCACCTCATCTCACCTCTTCCATCCTCTCCCGCCCCCTCGTGATCCCATCCCCATGCAAGGAAGGAAACCCACATACAAGGAAAAACAAGAATAAACACAACTCCTCCTCTCCCAGAGATCCAAACCCCGAAAAGGAAAAAAAAAAAAAATAGTAGGAAAAGCCCACAAGGAAACGAGACAGCGCCCCGAGAGCTTCCGCGAACCTTGTCTTGTCTTCTTCCTCCGCCCCCTTTTCATCGTCTTCTTCCTGCTCCCGCCCTCGCCTGCGTTGACAATCTCCAAGGGTTGGTGTGTGTATGCGGGATACTGATACTGAGGAAAGCCCCAAACGATCTCGACGCGTTCCACGCCGAAAAGTTGTCGGGAACTTCCCCCATCCTGTTGTTTCGACCTGTTCCCGTAGCAATTGATGTACAATAGTCTTCCATCTTTCCACAAGCTCATGGGTGCTCATGATGCTCATGTGGCTCATGAAAGCCAAACGTCCCTCTCCTTAACAGGCGTAACACGATGATTGTCAAGCCCGAAATCCAATTTCGGAATCTCAATCTTGGGCGCCGCTTCAACAGGCTTCTGCGCCTTTTGCGTCTTCTTCGGACTCGCGCTCCGCGACTCGGGCGGCGGCCCGTACCGCACATCCCTCGAATCCCACCCGTCTTCCGTCGCCGCCGCGACCCAGCACCGCAGCGCCTCGTGCACGCAGCCGTAAAACTTTTCTTTACACAGCCGCAGACTGCCGCCCAGCACCTTTTCCCACCCGGAAATGCGGAGGTCGTTACGCAGGTTGTTGCGCTGCGCCGCCGTCGGCGTGCACGCGATGATGGCGTTCATGAGGTCCAGATGCGAGGCGAGGTAGTTGGTCGCGTCCCACTCCACGCCGCCGACGTAGGGGGCAGCCGGGACGGGGGGCCGCTCCGACGGGAAGTGCCGGTGCATAAAGGCGTGCGGGTCTTGGAAAGAAGACGCGCCGTTTGTAATTGTGCCGAGCGGCGCCCCGCCCTTGGTCGACATCTCGGACGGCAGGGCAATGACGTTGAGGTGGTGTAAAAAGATCCAAAAGACCTCCTTGGTGACGCTGACAACCTCCTTGTTCCAGACCGTGTACGGCCGGTCTTTGCGCATCTCCAGCACGAAGCCGAGCGGCCTCTCCTCTTCCTTAGGCTGAGGGTTGCGCAGGAAGGAGAGCACCTTTTGCGCGCGAGCAATGCGCTCCATGGGCGTGGCCGACTCAATGTATGTAAATAACACTGACGTGATGATGTTGCGTGTAGTAAACTCGCTGGGACCCTTCTTCTCTGGGTCGAACAGCATATGGAGAAGCTTGGGAAACAAGTCCTCGTGAATGGAGTGGAGATATTGCAAGGCCAGCGCTGTGGTGCATAAAGCCTTTAGGCATAGTAAGTTTTCGTGAAGAAGGGCATCGTCGTGTTCCTCTCTGTTGCTCGTTAGCATTTGCACCTTGCTGCTCGTCAAGAGATCACAACTTACCTCCACTCAATAGCAAGAATACGTTTCAAGAGGCCGACAATCTCCTCCATACCGCCCTGCTTAATAAAGTCCTCGGTCCACGAGACCGTCTCGTTACGCAGAAGCAGCCGCAGTTTGTGCAATTTTCCAACCTCAACCAGCTCCGGCTTCTGCACTTTGCGCAGATACGAAACGTAGTCGCCCGGCCCCTGGCCGAACTTGATCTTAGAAAGAATGCCGTTGCTTCCCGTCGAGCTCGCTGAAACGGGCCGCTCGCTTACCACGCTCTCGGTAGACTTGCTCCGGAAGTGACGACCGATGGAGGTATTCTCGCCCTTTGACTTTTTTGTCGGGGACGCAGGCTCCTTGGGGTCCTTTTTTCGCGACAGCGTGAAGCTTCTCCCGCGCGAGCGCTTGGATTGTGTCTCTTCTTTATCAGAGCCTCCGGTCACCGCAGACGTAGGCTCGGTAGCAGTGTCAGCGACGCCCGCCTGCTCTTTGGCCGCCATTTCCGCCCAGTCCTGCCGGATGAACTCCATCTTGATTGTATCTGCCAGGCTGCGCATCTTGTAGCGCTGATTCTCGGGGATGTTGCGCCGATCGAGCATGGCTTCGAGGTGCTGATCGATCGCTTTGGGATCGATGGGCTTGTCGGCGGAATCCGAGGCCTTGGACTTCGTGCTAGACCCAGCGGCGGAAAAGGCCGTAAAGAGCTTGGGACGTTGGACCTTACTTTTGATTCTCTCCGAAGCAGAAGGTTCGCGGCCGTCCATCTTTGGCCTGCTTCGTAGGTCTGATGTAGATTTGTGCTCGGAGATGGCCGTGGAGGGATGGTATGACTTGGGTCTCTGCTTTTTGGATAGGTCGCTCGAGGCGTCGCTTCCATATCGTCCACTACCCGCGTCGAAGGAGGCCTTTCCACGCAGCCCGTTGCTCCCGAGATCCTGACTGCAGAATTGTGCGTAAATGGGCGGCGCCGGACCGCCCGTCATGTCGGCGCTCGACGTCGAGCTCGGGGGTGTGCGGTTCTCCTTGTCCTTAGCCTGGCGCCGCTCCTCTTCCTCCTTCGTGGTCTTGTTCAGGGACATGGTCGACCGGGGTCGAGACAGGAAGCCCGCCAGGTTCGTGCTCGATTTCGTCTTCTTTGGTTTCTCGGGGGACACGTCGCGTGATTTTCGGGCCTCCTTGGCCAACGACTTGAAGGACATGTTGCTAAAGGCGGATTTGGTCGGCGAGCGCGATCGGTCTCGGTTGCTGTCTGCCACCGGTTGTTGTTTGCGGGGCGACGAGTGATTGTTCAGCTCGCCGAGGGCCCCCAGGCCTTCGGTGCGGATGGGAGGAGGCGGGGGCGGCATCCTGCCCTCGAGCTGTGCGTAGGCGGCCGAGATGTGTTGGGCGGGCGTGGTGGTGACCTGAACGGAGGGCGGCGAGGTGAAGAGCGCAGAGCCCTCGGACTGGTTACGGCGGTGGATGAAGCTCTTGAGGACCGAGGACCTGGGGCGGCCTCCTCCATTGTTATCTCCTTCGGCGGCGGAGCCCATTGTCGAGGAGAGGGAAAATGGGGGCGGGAAACAACACCGTTCGAGACAGGGTTCTTGCTGGTATGGATGGACGGGAAAACAATGCTTTCCCCCTCCTTCGTGTGGAATGCTGGGCTGGAAAACTGAAGCTTGCTTGAAGAAGAATGAAGAAGAGGCAGCCAAAAAAACGGGGGGCTAGGGTGATGTAATTCCAATGCTTGGTGAATGTCGAATAAAGGCGAGAGGAATCCCGACAGCTATACGGAATTGTGTCTCTTCCTGCTCACACCATGTTTGGGAGACTGGGTGACGACGAGAAAAAAAAAAAAAGGCGGCAACTGCAAAGCTGGGGAAGGGAGATGGCTCAACGCCAGGCTACGTCCCGAGATTGCAATTGTTTTTCTGTTTCTGGTCGTCGTTGTGCAATAAGAAAGATTGATTGGGAGACTGGATGGGGATGGTCGTGTCGGTGAGCTGAAGGGCGGTAGTACTGGGCACCCACGAAGGAGCGGTCGTGGGGATTGTTTACGCTAGCGCTGTTGTCTGGGTGACCAGGGCGGGCGGGTCTGTTCCCCGTTGCGCTGCTCCCCTCGTATCTTATCGCCCACAGCCTAACGCGCCTGCAGCTCGGGGGGGTCTGCCAGTCTCATCACTGGTGTTTTTGGAGGGTGCGGGGCGGGCCGGTAGAAGTGGAGCCCCACGCCGGTCGACTCGGTCATTGTGCGGAGACTCGGTTTGCTGTGCAACGGCCACGGTTTACCTCATTTGTTGGACTAAAGCTCACATCTAATTGTGCAATTTCAAACACCCTCTGGAAGAGACACTATTTACTTTAGTTGTGTAATTTCAAGTGGGCCACCTCAACATCGTCTACGCAGCTGGCTTATATCTAGACCTGTTCCGCGCTCCAAAGCTCGAATCTTCTCCTAAGGTTATACGTATAATAGGTAGGTATATTGGCACTCACGCCCCTTTCTGCAAAGCTTGAACCCTTTCGTCTATCAAAAGCTCTTGTCTACCAAATACCGTCTGCCGGTCTTCCTCTATGTGTCTGCCGTATCCTCCAACGCCCCCCAGACCTGTATCCCAATGGCCCTGATCATGATTCCCCCCACGGATGCGCCCAAAGTCGCTTCTAAGAATTCATCAAAACAGAAAAAAAGAGACCATACGAACGGCTCACCAACTCATTATCCCCTTGGCCCTATCAAACCCGCCCCTCAACTGCGTCTCAGGCTTCACAACCTTGCCCTGCAAAACAGTATACTTGACCAGATTCTCGCAATCCTCAGGCTTGATCCGCGCAAGCCAGATACACTGCGCAGCACCCACATCCTCCGTCTCCGGCAGCGCGGCCGCCGTCCTCGCCTTGGGCACCAACTCCCCTCCCTCCTTGACGCGCTCCACCTCGTCCAGCCCAAAAGCGTCGGGTCGGCGGTACACCATCACATTGGCGCTATACTTGTGCCCACCCACATGCGAGATGAAGTAAATCCCCACCCCGCCAGGCCTCTCGTCGTCCATGTCGCGGAACAACCCCAGGGGCCGGAGGTGGCGCTCCAGCTCCTTGCGCAGCAGCGGCGCAGACTGTCCGCAGCGGGCGTCGCGCGTCTTTTGCGAGCAGAGGAGGATCAGCGCGCTGTGCGGGCAGGGGCGGCGGGAGATTTGGGGGGGTATGCTGCTCGTTCCAGTGGCGGCCGCCTCGGTGCCTTTGCCGTTTGTCGATGCTACGGGGACGGAGGCCGGGAGGGCGAGCGGCGCGAGCGGGGAGGTGTTTGTCGGCGCCTTGTCTACGAATTCGGTAATGAGCTCCGGCACGCTTTTTGGTGTGACGTGGTCGATGATGACAAAGGCTGGGAGGAGGAGGACGGTCGTGGGTTCGGTGTAGTCGCTCGAGTGGTTCGGTGTCGGGATGTTGGAGGCCGAGAGCATGAGTTTCTGTTTTGTCGCATCTTCGTTAGCAAACCTATCCCCTTCTTCATCGTCTTCTTCTTTTTTCAGAGCTGCTTACCCCATTACTCGGCGCCGCAGCCCTCCCAATAGCCTCCATCACGCTCCCCTTCTCGTCCGCCACGTCCCGCACCCAATCGCTCTTCCCCGTCGCCACGAGCGCGTGCGTGCTCCACCCCTTCACCATGCCGTACAGCTCGTCGCCCTCGTCAATCTTGAAGCCCTTGGGGTACTTGACGTGGCAGCTCTCGCAGTCGTGCTCGCAGTCCTCGCCGTCGACGGCCGGGTCCGTCTTGGGGAAGAGGTCGAGGGCCGATACGCCGTGGGCGGTACCCAGGGCGAACTTTTTGGCGCCGGTGACGAAGGACTTGAATGCGGACGTCATTGTTGCCGTTTCTTTTCTGCGCTCTCCAAAGCCTAGTCAAGCGATTGTAGAAAAGAAAGAGAAGGTAGGACTGTGACTCTCCCACTCCGTAGCAGAAAAGACGTTGAAAGGTAGAGAATTGTAGCTTTGGAGGGGTGGAAGTTGTATGGAGTGGAGGGGTAGGGTCTACAACTAAAGGGCTGAAGACCGGTTCGGAAAGGAAAGCACACGGAGTAAGTCGTTCGGCCCACCCGTCGGAAAGGTGGCGGGATGTGGGGTATTTGGGGTTTGGCTCCTTTTTTTTCTCGGGCCTAGGAAAGGTGTGGGAAACAATGACAAGGTCGACAAGAATTGGGAATGGAGTGTTTGGGGAGAAAAGGTGGGATTAAGGAACACTCAACCGGCGCGCCGCAAGCTCCGTGGGCCGAAAACTGAACCAATACAGACTCTTGGAAGACTAAAATGTCAAAGCTGACCAACAAGACACCCGCCCTTTGCTGGAGTTATTATATTCCCCAGTCCAAGTCCCGCGCGCGTCCTTATTAATGTAAAAAATTGTAACCCTACAAAAGGGACGCAATGATTTGCTTGCTTGTTTGCTTCCCCAACTAGTGCTCGTATCACCGAGATCTCTCTCCCCCTCGCTCGGCCTCGCCAAAGGCACAGGTCCGCGGACAATATGCATTTACGTTCTGAAAACTCCGGCGGCCGGCAGCGGCACGGAATAGCCGGTCGGGGAACTAAAAAGCCACGCGTGCGAGTTTTGTCTCGAATAGCGTCACCGTGGAGGGGGAAAGGGATGGGGACCTTTTGAGTTATCAGATCCTGCGGCCTCCCACACCACACAGCAAGGTACCTTACTCCGTACCGGCCGGACGGAGATAACAGCATGCGGCGGTCAAACATTGTAATCGCCGTAATTGGCTGCGCATTTGCCCCAGTCCCGCGAATCCAGTCCAACGTTCAGACGAAGCATCCGTACTCCGTACACTCTTAGGTTCTCTGTGAGGTAATACGCAGTAATTGGGCCGGCGCTGATTCGCAAAACACAAAAATGGGAATCCATATTGAAACTATTAAAACGCTGTCTATACGTACCTTTCGGTACTCTTTGATTGGAATCACCTTGCGCCCAACCCCCTTCTCCACAACTTCAACTCTCGCTTTCTCTTTCTCTTTCAAAAGCCTATTGCGTCTGTTGCTTTGCGTCTCTGTTCTGTGACATCATGTGTTCTTCTTGCGCGCCTCGTTGTACTCCTCATCCTCGCTCTCATCCGCGCCCAGCTCCATCTTGTGATCCCCGCTCTTTCTCCGGCGAAGCTTCATCGCCTCGCGAATCTTCTTGCTAGCTTCGTCAAACCCACCCGCAGAGTCCAGAGTCGTGAACCCGCTGATGTGGAACCCGCCCGATCCGAGACCGCCTCCGCTGCTGCTGCTCCTACTCCTCGACCGGGAAGGCGGTCGCGTGGAGAAGATGCCGACGCCGCCAATGTTGCTGTATGATTCGTTGCGGGGCATCGCACGGCTCGACTGCTGGGTTTGTCTTCTAGAGATGGACGGCGGCGTCGCGGCATCGTAGGCGCTGGATGCGTCGCTATCGCGGCGCGCCGGCGGTGTGCGCGGTCGGGAGTATCCGTCGGCCTTGTACGGGTCTGCCACCAGGCGGGTCTTCTCAAAGTCGGGGAACATCTCGGGCCCAAGCGTGTTAATAAGATCCGTAACTTGGGAGCTCAGGTCTACACGCTTCGCACGCAGCTGCTGGATGTTGTAGCTTGAGGCAGGGTTTAGACAGAGGACCAAGGGCCTCAGAGACTTGAAGATATCCATGCCGACTTCGCCAAATCGCAGCGCAGCAAACGTGATGCCCACCATGAGGGGCCACATGACCAAGTATGTCGTCCACCACGGCACCCACTCAGGAACGTAGCCCCAGAGGTGATCCTGCCAGACCTTATAAGTGACGATGGCCGAGTAAAAGTGGTACAGAGTCGGGGCGAGGAAGATGGCGACCAAAAGCTTCCATGTAGCCATAACGTCGCGTCCCTGAACCTTCACTGTCGAGCCAGCCAGAGCCTGCTTCGCCTTACGAACGCTAATGGCCTTGGATGCGGCGAAGACAGGGGCGAAGAGAATGAGACCGGGCAGTACACCAATAAGAAGTACAAGAAGCTTGGCGACGCGGTAGAACAACAAGAAGATGACCTTGGGGATGGACATCTTGCCGTACTGGACCTGGTGGTCGCGCAGGTTGACGTAGCGCAGCTCCTTGTTGTATTGCTTCACAGACTTAATCACATGGACGACCCGTGCGTCGTCCTTGTACTTTTCGTAACCCATGGCGAGTCTGCGGTTTAGCTCAATGACTACCGGCAGAGGCAGCTTCTTTCCGGTGGGGTTGTACAGACGCCGAGCGGCTTGAAGCATCATCAGGGTATCGTAGTCGGGGGTGGAGACGGTGACGGCGCTCAGAGCCTGGTAAACACTGTCGAGGAGCTGGCCGATGGCCTCGCGTCTTTGGTTGTTCTTGTACATCTCGACCAAGTGCCGGGGAACTTCGAAAGGAGGACCGAACTCGACGACGGCGCGACTGCGGAACTTGTGGGCGTGGAAATAGTTCATGCCAACGGGTACGATCGTCAGACCACAGTCGGGGGATTCGGCGAGGGCACCGAGTGCCATAATGGCAACGCCAGCCTTCAGGGGAAGCAGCTCAGTGCGGTCATGGCTACCTCCCTCTGGGAAGATGCCTACGCAGCCACCTGACCTCAGACGGTCAAAGACGGCCTCGTACACCTTGGTCTGATCAATGTGCGGGGCAAGCTTGTACTTGGTTCCCTTGAAGCCGGGACTGCATCCCTTGAGGTCCTTGTTGGTGAAGTTGCCATTCTCATCAATGTCATCGCGTCCGGTAAGCTGCTCGAGCGGCAGCTTGCCCTTGAACGGGCGCTTTATGCGAATTTCCTCGGGTCCGATAATCTGCGCAATGTCGATGCTGGCGCCGGTCTGCTTCTTGGCAGAGGGCAAGAACAGCATACCGTGTACCTCGCCCTCTCCTTGACCAAATTTGGTGCCAACGCCGCGGATAAGTGTAGGGTCGTTGATGGGGTCGGGCAGATAGATGACGCCGGCGCCGGGCTTGGCAGCGTCCTGGGCGCGTCCGACGGGGACGGAGCCGACCTGACGAGAACCCCAGCCGATGAAGCCATGGACAGACTTTTGCGCAATGAGGAGAGAGACTCGACGGCCGGCCTCGTGTCGGAGGGTGCGTTGGAGGATGAGAGCATCGACAAACTACGTGCAGAGATTGCGGGCGTTAGCATGTGACAATGACAGGGGGGTTTTGCTTCGACAAGGGGAGTGAAGAAGGAAAAAAAAGAGAGAAAACTGACCTGGTTGGCGTGAGGAGCGGCGACGAAGAGAACGGGACCCGACTTGGGGACTTTCCAGGAGCCACGAGGGTGAACCTCGCGGAAGAAGAGATCGACCAGCACGCCCAAGACCCAAAGGAAGAGGTCATACTTCCAGTTGACCATGGGGTATAGCTCCTTAGGAGGGGTCGGGATGGAGCCGCTCTGTGGCGGTGCGGCGACCGCCGTTCCAGCGTGGTCTGGCATGGCGGCGAGACTCGGTATGCGATGTCAGAGGAAAAGGTGTTTGAATGGAGTGAGGTGAGAATCGTCTCTTGGTGAAAATCTCGCCAACTATTGCGCCACTCCCTTAGACTTTCATCCTCGGTGGTGGTGTGTGGTGTGGAACCTTCGGGTGCAGCAGGGCGGCAGTAGCGATAAGAGGGCTACCTTGGGCGGAGCGAGCTTCGATTTCGTGCGCTGGCATTCACGAGGTGCCAGATAGAGTTGGTGATGAGAGGAAGCGAATGACAGAGTAGAGTATTGCTTAAACAATTGGTAAGGCGCACCTGCTCTGGTGGTGGTGCGACTGGCGACGTAGTGTGGGAGAAGAAAGTAACTGACAATGACTGCGAGGTGTGAGTTGACCAAAAATTAGGAGGGATGTATTTCTGGAGAGCCCGGGCGAAAGAGAGCAGGGCAGCAGGGGAATGGGAATGGTACCTATGCGCCTGTGGAGGCCGGGGGCGGTTCCCCACTACGTCGGCCAAGCCCGCGATATCATCCAGTCTTGTCCCCAGACGCCCCTCTTCTTTTTCTTTCAGTGCGATATTCCACTTTCGACTTCTCCTTTCTTCTTAACTCTTTGGTATACGCTCTGCTGCTCTGCAACCGGCCAAGGGAATAGAACGCGTCCACTTGCAACAATGTATGGTTCCCTATCGCTAGCCGTGGTACGATGGGGTAAGGTATCTCTGGTATCCGTGCAAAGATTAGATCGTTAGGTTGTTTTACTCAGCGCCAGAATGCGGGGGGAGCTGAGCTGCAGACAACCGACTACTAAAGAAAGCTCAGGGCGTACAGTGGCACAAGACCTGGCAGGATGAAGAAAAACCAGAAGCTGGGACGCTACGTCAGGCGAGGCGAATTTGGAGTAAACAGGCCAGCTAATTATCTCTCTGCCGTCTGGTACATCGAAGGCGACCTGACCTGACCCCTCACCTCAACCGGTTGGCTTTCCTGCATTTTGTTGGGAAACGTGGCAGACCTCATGACGGAGGAGGGGAGGACGGGGTATATTCAACAACTCGTGCTTTCAGTTCCCGAAAAAGGTAACTTTTCCCATCGCAACCTATCGGTATTGTTTTCCTGGG